TAGCCAGACTTGTTTCAAAGAACCAAGGGCTTGGGATGTAGCTCAGTGGTAGAGCACTGGCTTAGATTGTGTGAGGCCTTGGGATCCATCCCCAGAGCCAAAAAAAAAAACAACAACAAAACACCCCCCCCAAAAAAAAACCCAAAGAAAAACAACAAAATGCCCTTAATGCAGAGAAACTAAAGCAGATACCTTAAAGCAACTGAGGCCAATAGGAAAAGGGGACCAGGAACTAGAGAAAAGGTTAGATTAAAAAGAATTAACCTAGAAGGTAACACCCACGCACAGGAAATCAATGTGAGTCAATGCCCTGTATAGCTATCCTTATCTCAACCAGCAAAACCCCTTGTTCCTTCCTATTATTGCTTATACTCTCTCTACAACAAAATTAGAGATAAGGGCAAAATAGTTTCTGCTGGGTATTGAGTGGGGGAGCGGGAGGGGGTGGAGTGGGTGGTAAGGGAGGGGGTGGGGGCAGGGGGGAGAAATAAACCAAGCCTTGTATCCACATATGAATAATAAAAGAAAAATGAAAAAAAAAAAAAAAAGAAAAACAACAAAAACCCAAGAATGAACTATAGGCAGATGATTGAAGCCTTGGAGCACTACAAATGATGGAATGTTCACTCATTTTGTGAGGGTCTTACTGAAATGGCTGGAATGTCTAAGGCAATACTCAGTGCTGGTGGTGACAGAAGTGGTGGTGGAGGTGATGGGATGGAGGCCATGGTGGTGATCGAGGTAGTTGAGGTGGCAGAGGCAGAGATGAAGGTCATGGTGGTCTTCAGAGTGGGGTTGGTGGTGAGTGTCTTACCTGGATTCTTAATGAGGATGCTTGCTATAGTTTCTGGTAAATGTCCTTTATTGAGTTAAGGAAATTCCTTTCTATTCTTAGCTTGCTAAGATTTTGTGTCACCAATGGGCTGTGAAGTTTATCAAGAGCTTTTCTGAGTCTACTAGAATGATACAGGCTTTCCTTCCCCATGGGAAGCTGTATTGAAACACCCTCAGGCTGGCTGAACAGCTGGTTTTGTCTCAGGCACAGTCTCTCCCTCCTTCCCTCTCACCTTCCTGTCTCTTCCTCTTCCCTCCCTAAGGTGCAGACACTGCACTGGCCCGCAGCTGGGCGGCTGGACCAGGCGGGCAGGCAAGGCATTGGAGTGAAAGCCGGCTCCCTCTCTGTGCTGGGTCAGCACTTTCACCAGCCTGCCTTCTGCTGCTGTTTCCTGTACTAATCCCAGGGGGACCCCGCTTCCCCCCCAGTTGTTCCAGACAGAGCTGGAGACATTCTGAGGTTGGGTTAAAATGCTGGTGGCAGACAGGCAGGGGGGCAGGAGGGGATCTTGAAGCCTGCATTCCTCCATGGGGCCAGGGGTGGAGGGGCTGGCGGGCGTGTGGTGGGGGAGGAATGTTTCTGGGGAGTCGGTATGGCAGAGGCGACTGCTGGTTGCTAGGCAGAATCGGCTGAGATGAATCATGTTTTGGCAAGAGCTGGTTATTGGCTCAAGTGAGAAGTTATCCAAGTCCATGGAATCTTTGTGTTTGAGAGAAAGGAAAATGGTTCATGGGATTCAATCATCTTGCAGATGGAGAAACTGAGCCAGGACAGGGAGAGAGATTTGCCCAGGAGTTAGGGACAGGCTCTTCCCTCCCACTTTCCCAGGGTCCTGACTGGGGAGAAGGAACCGTGGAGAAGCAGCCCCTTACCTCCTTATGGCCCGTGTCACCATCCAGGCTCTGAGACTTGGTAGTGACTTCCTGTGAGCTACCTCCTGAGCAAACGATTTAGAGCGACATGGCTGTGCAGTAAGTGTGGCCTGGATGAAAGCCTTCCCTGGCCCTGTGGAAAGAGCCTGTCCAGAGGCAAAGTGAGCATTTAGTAAGCACTTGTGGTGTACCTGGCTGCATGGGCACTTTTTCCATGTGGTCTCATTCAGGCCTGCAAACAACCCCTCTCAGGCTGACAAGTGAGGACAAATGAGAAAGGCCCATAGTCGCTCATGGTCACAGTCAGGCAACCCCAGGCCAGGCTCTCCCTGGAGGCCCTCAGCTCAGTTAGCTAGACCAGACAAGGATGCGTTGTACTGGCAGACTGTCATCTATCAAAAACACCGGGAAAGGCCAAGTGGAGACTCTGAGCCCTGGCTTTGCCAGGAAGCTGGGCCCTGCTGCCTTTGGGAGTGGGAGTGGATGTGCACCCCTTTGATAGGGATGGTCCCCAGGGACCCTGCTTTTGTGGGAAAGTGAGCAGGATTCTGGGGTTACGGGACCAATGGGGCAGTGTGAGTGCCCTCACCACGCCCTCTGCTCCAGGGCAGCAAGCCCAATGGATGCCTGGGATTCCAGTGACTTATTCATTGGTGGTAAGCTTCACCCTTAGCTCCTCTGTGTGTAAACTGCAAATCCTGTGAGAAAGAGAGAAGACAAAACTGACAGTGGGATGGATTTTACAGACTCTAAGGGCGAGACGCCCCGATGAAGGACAACATAGAGGAGCGTCAGACTTAGCGCTTCCCCACCAGGTGGACTGGGACCTTAGGTGGGCTACACTGCTGCCCAGCTCCTCCGTCAGTATTAATCGTGACATGGTGGGGCTTAGGAGACTCTCAGGTGAACACCCTGCATGCTAATCGCCATCTCAGGGTGGCTTCCTTGGGAATCTGACCTGTAACAGAGGCAATGCCTTTGACCCAGAAACTCTGTTTTGGAACCTGCTGATGGAAATACCTGGAGGTGGGTGGCAAGGTGGACCATGAGGACATTCATGCCAGTGTTACTTAGAATAAGTGAGAAAAGGAAACCACATCTGTGCTCATGGGTGTGGGAGTGTGGAAGAAACGGTGGGCTCAGGTATTTGATACTTTTTTTTCTTTTTGGTGGTACTGGGGTTTGAACTCAGGGCCTAGAGCTTGCCAGGCAGGGACACTACCACTTGAATCACACCCCAGTCTTTTTGCTTTAGTTTGCTTTTCAGATAGGGTCGTCTGGATTCCTACCTATGGCATGCCACTAGCTGGACCACAGACCTGTGCTCCATGACCAGCCTGTTTTGTGGAGATGGGGTCTCCTTTTTGCCCAAGCTGACCTTGGACCTCCTGATCTCCCATGTAGCTGAAATTACAAGCATGTGCCACCATGCCCGGCAGGCATTTGACTCTTGAACAAATGAGGCAGGCTAAATTAGGGAAAGATTAGGACTCACCCTTCATGTGAACGTTCAGGGTGAGGTGAACCTCTCATGTGCCCAAAGCCTTGGTGTTCTGCCAGGCAGAAACAGGGCAGAAGCACAGGCTCTGGGTCACGTAACCCCAAGTCAATGCTCGTTTGAAATAATGTCCACCTCAGAGAGTTGACATGAGAAATAAAGGGATTACAAATGGAGGGCCTGGCACCAAGCACAGGTGCTCAATAGATGAATTCAGTGCATTTGTCCAGACCTCTTCAGAAGAGTCTTGGAGAGTGCAAAAACCAAAAAAAAACAACCCAACTTGAGCTCAATGAAGGGCAGACAAGGCCCTCATGTGGCCGAAAGTCAACCTGCCTGGAAAAGGAGTCTGTGTAAGTTAAAGAAAACATCCTTTTCTGGTAGCTGGCCTACCAGGTTGCAATGCTTGGGCTGAGGGCGTGCTGTTTGGGCTGTTCGTGGGCCACATCTGATGTGCAGAATTCAGCTCAACTTTCAGAGGATGTTAACTAGACAAGAAATCTCATATTAAAATCACAAGGCAGTGGGGAATTGTGGTGTTGCCACATATAAGGGAGAGACAGGCCCAGTTTGGAGGGCCCCTGAATTACACAGATCACACCGCACAGGACAATTTGACATGGTTCCACCCAGGGTTCTAATTTGAGATTCTGATGGAGGCGCTGGCCTGTGGTGTCCTCCAGACTGGAGGGTGCGGCCTTTGAAGTTCTGTGCTTTCCACCAGAAGTCAGAACATGGAAGTTTTTTTAAACAAAGGAGGTATATTTAAGAGGCAGCCAGCTTGTGCCTGAACAAAAAAGCCACCATTAGAAAAACCAACACATCTTACTTTTGAAGCTTTCAGGATCGTGTTTCCACTACAAAACGGGACTTTCTTTACTGAGATTTGTGATGTGGGTAGTGCAAAATGTGTGCACCTCTGGACAGGAGGAACAGCATTGAACACGCTATCTGCCCTGAACCAGAGATGAATGTTTTAAACAATTTTAGGGGCACTGTACATGTACAGACAGTTCAGAATAAACCACTTAAATGTCACACCGGTGGAGGACAGAGAACTGACAAGGTTTTTCCCTATGGCTGCTTGACTCATCCCACACCACACAGAACCAGGAGGCTCTCAAAGTTTGGGGGTGTTGGCACCCAGACTGAAGTCAGACACTTGGGCCTAGAAATCTGCATTTTAAAACTCATTCCAAGAGCTCCTCACACATCTGGTTCACAGGGTATAGTGCATTACCTCAGCCAATGTTCCTTGGACTTTAGGATCTCCCAAATCGGTAGTTCCAAAAGGAACCGCGACCCATTCTGAGTTGTCTAGTACACTGCGGTAGCACAGTGACAGTGATAGCCATTTCCTTTCCCTCGCTTCCTAAGGCACTACAGTTCCGAAAAGCTGTTCACGGCCTTTATCGTCTGGTGGTGAAGAAAGCTAGGTATGTCACTGTGCTCTAGCTTTAGACGCCCCAGGGAGCTTTGGGCAGCACTCAAAGCAAAGGATCCAAGAGACAGGCTTACTAGAGAAAAACGTCATCTTCTATTACATTCTTTTATTATTATATACGTACATATGCAGATCTGGCTTATGTACAGTAACCGGCTCTATCAAGTAATCAGACCAAGGCATTCTACTGGTAATCTTCAAAGCAGGTTTAGGAAAAACTAAGTATTTATGAACTTCAGACTCAAAAATTAAGACTTCATGATTGATTTTAGCTCTGAAGCCGCACACAATCCAACATATATACATGAACTGCATTAAGGCAATAAAAGTGAGCTGAAAGAAAGCACAGGATTCACAATAATTCAATGATGTATTTTGCTTGTGTTAGTGTAACAGTGTGCATGGCAAATACTGTGACTATCTCAGAGCTTCTCTGCCGTGTGCGAGGCCTCTGAACATCTAGGTGAGTGCACGGTAGGCAGGGCAGGGGCAGATGGCTGCCATTCTGGATGGCGCATCATCCACGGCTCATTTCTTCTCTGTCTCTCCTTTGGATTCCTGTTTCAGTTTGTAATCAGCCAGGGCAGCCTTGATTGCATCCTCTGCCAGCACTAGAAGGAACAGAACAAAGAGAGACTAAGGTTCTTGATACTGGAGAGACAGTCTCAGGAAGAGACCTTTCTGAGCCAGAGGACACTGTGCTGGGGGAGCAGCTGGCTAGCTGCTTCCTGAGCGCCATGGCTCCTGCAGGTGGCTCTGGGGACTCAGCCTGGGTTCCTGGGCTAGTTCCTTTCACCTTTTCTGTAAAACTAGGCTAGTCCTTTTCCTGCTGGGAAACTAAAAGGATGTCCAGAAAGTGCCTGACATAGCAGGGATAGAACAGTATCAGTTTCTGTCTGCTCCTGTGAAAGTTTGGACTAAATGCTGAGAGGCTGGGCTTGCTGGCCTATCTTTAGTCATGCTGAACCGTTGCTAGATAGCGCTTATCATGTTATCCTCTTGTCATCCCAAGTTGGAAAGCTTTCATTTAGGAACTGATACTAAAAGTGAGGGAAGGTGAAAGTTGAGAGTGGGAATGACAGCAGAAAGCAAGCAGCAGATAACACAGTTGAAGGCTTTAGTACCCAAGGCCAAACAAAAAAGCACAGGTTTTCCTGGAACCGTGTGAAGATGTTTTCAAGCTCTGACCTTTTTTTCTTCATGAGTACTTAGAATTACAGCTCAAGTTCCCATCCCAGCTCCTGGCTCTTCTCCTGAGCCTTCCTTACCCAGCCAGGAAGTCTATTCTCTGTTGACTTGTTTTAATGCAGCACTGGAGTTAAAGTGGAGTTAAACTCAAGGTTTTTGTTGCTAGGCAAATGCTCTTCCACTGAGCTATAGCACCAGCCCTTTTAGCTTTAGTAATTTTTCAGATAAGGTTTTGCAATTTTGCCTGGGCTGGCCTGGACCGCCATCCTTCTCCTTATGGCCTCCTGTGTGGCTGGGACCACAGCTGTGTGCCACCATACCCAGCTTATTTGTTGAGATGTAGTCTCGGTAACTTTTTGCTTGGGCTAGCCTTGAACCCTGATCCCCCAATCCCTGCCTTCTGAGTAGCTGGGATTACAGACATGAACCACTGTACCTGGCCTCTGGGATGAATTTTAACTAATTAGGTCAGCAAGCCTCCAGCAGTGTGTAAAGGCAAAAGTCCCTGAGAAGGGTTAGCATACAATCTAACACAGCGACTGAACTGGAGAGCCACGTGCAAGTTTACTCTTAGGACCGCGCATAGGGTGTTGCATAGCCAGGCTTTCACTCTCCACTCACAGATGCAGACACCAGCAGTTGACAGCATCTGGCCCAGAAGTGAGGAAATGCATGATGAACGGGGTGATGATGAAGGCTGAGTTTTCTCTTCTATTTGTCCTAACTCTGCTCTAAAGTTATGGGAACAGCAAAGATTCTGAACAAAGAATCTGTTCAGTTTGGCTCTCCTGCTTATTTTGAGACCCTACTTCCACTCTGTAAGAGGAGAGTGGTGGCATCTGCTGAGTGCTCGGGGCCACCTGAGGCTTCCAAACGATGCCATCAAGTCTTAGTGTGGCTCCAGTGCACAGCACCTGGCACAACTCTTAAGAGCCCTTGGCTGTGAGTGTATAGGGCTCTACCCTCAGAAGGCTACAGAGACAGACTCTGTGCGCTCTATTTCACAGGGGCCCCATGACCTACGAGGACCTCGTCACCCATGTGAGTTGACATGACTGCTGAGTGTCCTGCTGGCTGACTCACTGGAGCAGTGCAGTTTCACAGGGGGCAAGCAGAGCTCTTTGGCGATGTCTGTGTTTTTGATGGTCAACGCTTCCTCCACCTGAAGGAAAGAGGAACAGTGTCAGTGAAGCTTTATCTTGAAAGGGCCAGATAGTAAAAAGGAAGGCCAAAGAGACCTCAGGGTAGGTTGCTGGGGGATGATTTCTGCTTAGTAAATCAAAACGAAGAACTGAGAGTCTTCTCAGGATGCCCACTTGTGCGCCAAAGCTGTAGCTGGGATCGAAAGTATTATTACACACACCTGCAATGTTTGCCTGGGTCAGCAAGAACGGCCAGGACACTTCCGCTAGAGAAGTGTCTGAGGGATCTGCTGGAGGCCAAACCAGTCTTTTTTTTTTTAAAGAAGGTGATTTCCTATGCTTGGGCTCTGGGCTGAGCTGTTTAGACTTGTCCTCTGCCTAAAGTAAACAATCTCTGCAAGAAGATGCCTGAAATCTGGGGACAGCCGCGGGGGATGAGGTGAGGCAGGAGGTCCTTGCCCATGCAGAATGGAGCCCCCAGCATTAAGGAAAGCCAGATTTCCAAATAGCCAGACTCCCAGGCTAGTTGTTGAAAACTCAGCTGTGAGGATCTCAAAGGCTCTCCCCTCATTCTGATCACAATTCAGGGCTCCCTGAAGCATGCATGCCTTGTCTTATTTCCCTTTCCCTGAGGTTAGTCCTTAACCAGGCACCACCTCAGAACCACCTCCTTCCAGAACAGAGTGGGCCTTGTGTTTTCCTGGCCTGCAGGAGCTTGCCAGCCAGAAGTCCCAAGCCACAGGAAGCAGGTGGCATGAGGCCTGGCAAATTGCTTTGCCTAGCACCCCAAGCCTGCTCCTCCATGACTCAGCTTGCTGAAGCAGGTCCCTTGGGGTTGCAAGGATGAGCACCCCATAGGCTGGCTTTTCAGAGCAGTTTTAATGGCAACTGGATTTTAGGAAGTCCAGCTCTTCACAGACTTTCCATGCCCACCACTGCTGGGGAAAAAGACTTTGCTAGAGAAAACGATGGAAAAGATGTTCTGGACTGCCCTTTTTTGCACTCAGAAGGCCTTGCAGACCAGGCACCTGGACCACTGCTCCCATCACTCTGTTTACCCTCACTCACACTTGCGGTATTTTTGATTTTTTATTCCCTTTTTAAATACAGGCTAGCTTATTCCACCACTCTGTAAGCCACCTGGAATCGTTCCTGAAACAGGATGGGAGGAAATAAACAAGAAAATAACTATTATACGTCACCCCGACCCTCCACAGGACTCAGACTCCTGAGAAACTTAAGAACATTAGTGACTCTAGAGAAGGCCAAAGATTCCTTTTGCAACTATATTTTGTTAGAGGGACAGGCAAAGAGCATTTTTCGATGCAATTGACAAAACACCACCCAACTTTCTGAACAAATAAAAATGATCAATAAAAACCCCAAATAACTTAACAAAATGGTCCGTAATCATAACTCCCAATGGAGAAATGTAATCAATATCAATTAATTTCTCCCTGAGAAATTAAAACAGATTTTTTGAAAGAAATCTTTTTTTTTTTTTTTTTTTGATTCACTAGGCCTTTTGGAGAGCCAGGGTAGCAGAGAATGTGACTTAATTCTATCAAATTTGCAAGCAACCTTACCGTCTTCCCTTTCACCCATTCAGTGGCTAATGAGCTGGAGGCAATTGCAGAACCACAGCCAAATGTTTTAAACCTGGCATCCACAATCTTCCCCTTTTCATCTACTTGAATCTAGAAAAGAGACAGGAGTTCAGTTGGGATTTCTGGGGCTGCCCTCTAGAACCCAAGAGATGGGGGCCCTGGGAGGCCTTCCTCACGAGCTCTGGGATTACTGTCCACACTGGAAATTATGCTAGTAACTACTACTGACTTCACATTCTTTTAAAGCACTCAGCCATGAAAAGTGAAACTTAGGAACAACTGTATAGGGCTAGCTGGTAAAGATAAGCTGGAAAATGACTTCCCTGCACTGTAGTTTTATTTTGTTTGCAACCCTAGCCTGCTGTTTGGTTATGAATTCCTGTTTGAGGAAGTCTACTCACAGATGCCAGGGCAGTCTGCCTCCTTAAGACACTGGGAGAGCCTGCAACCAAGGTCTTGGGTTAATACTTTGCCTTGGGTGCCAGATACACTTAGGTTCCCTCCTGCCTCAATTCTGTGTTTCAGGATAGGTGTGAAGATCTCTGTGAGCTGCCACACACTATGAAGGAGACTGAGGATAAAGATATGGTTTACCCACTACCTTTGTGTCACTTCCAGGCTGGGGAGAGGTTTGTTTTGGTGCACTTTCCATCTCACTGGGCAGTGCTAGCTCACTGCAGTTTTCCTTTGCTCAGCAAAATTCACAAAATCTTCAACCCAGCTGAAGGTGGAAATTTAAACTGGTACTGCTCTAGTCATTTACAACAGACTCATCCCTGCTCACAGCAGTAAAGATGGAGCTCATGTGGAATGCCTTCTGTGCCAATGCTTTGCCAATATGAAGCACTCTGTAAGCAAAGGGATTGAGGTTATCACTGTCACACGTGAGCCACTTGGTACCTGTAATTTCATGACATCGCCACATGCTGGAGCACCCACCAATCCAGTTCCAACATTTTTAGATGTCTTGTCAAGGGACCCCACATTTCTGGGATTTTCATAATGATCCACGACCTGAAATGACAAGGTTAAGAGAAATCACGATCACTTTACTGGTACTGGTTTCCCCTGAAGTCAGCACCCTGCACCTGGCAGAGTAGGAATACTCACGTCAAGAGTACCATTTATCTCTGGCGGTACTGGGGTTTGAACTCAGGGCCTCAAGCTGGAAGAGCACCATGTGTGACTCCAACTCTTTTTGTACCTCCCCTCTAACCACCTTCAGAGAATGGAGATTCTATCTGAGATACTGGCAAAAAGACAGTGGTAATGTCTTAGATCCATAGGGTTTTCAACCACACGAAATCACTTGACTTTTACACAACCACATCACCAAGATCTGGGCTCAAAAACCATTTGTGGTAGTTCCACATAAAGTAATCCTCAAACAAGAAAGATTCTTTAACACTATGGCCCTGGAAATGGACGGCTTTCCCAAAGCCTCAACGTGACTGCTTCAGAGGAACAATGCTATGGAATAAATCTGTGTCTATTAAAATAAAAACAGCCCTGAAATCATCACGGCGCAGCAGCACCCCCTGGTGTTGAAAGGCTGTAACCCACTTCCTTAGCGCTGTAAATAAAGGTCAACAAAACATTCCCCGTGTGGGGGAGTGAAGTCCTTGGCTTTTAAAAGGCAAGCCTAACTATTAAACACTCACCAGAATAGGCACCCGCAAGTCTTTGCTAACCTTGAGGTTTACCAGTTAACAGTAAGCACCCAGATCTTCTAGTCGTCCCCCACTTCCCATACGACCACCGATTTTGATCCTAAATCCCAGGGACCCACAAGATAATCTACAATCTGAACTTTTTTGCATGATTGGCAACATTCTTTAGTTGTTGCCCAAATGTATCTATCTCACGTCCTGGGCGCTCTACGCCCCAGAAGGCAAGGGGCCACAAACTGCGCATCTATCCCTCCTGCCGTCCGCCAAAACCCACAACTGTGCTTGCAGGCTCCGCGCCTGACTCCTTTGGGAACCATCGCACCCCCTACACCCGCTCCGCGTGTTGGGCCTATGTGCCAGGAACCCCGCCCAGGGCTCCACACACGTTACCTCTTGCAGGGGACATCTGGGGTCACAGGTCCAGCGAGGGGCCGTGACTTGTCCACGGTCACTAAGCAGTGACCGGGCTGACGCCGGAGCCCCCCAGCTCAGTGAAAGTCCTAACAGAACCTAACATTCCGGACTGTCGACAAGTTTGAACTAGGGACGCACGAAGTGGCGGACAGCGGCGGGCGCACTAGAATTCACCGCCCGATCATCGGTAGCTGTTGTTCGGGTACAGCTGCCGTGGGTATCGCTGGAGGCTGGGGAAGGTAAATCGAGGCAGAGAAGTGGGGGCGGGCCGCCTCTCCCAGCCCAGGGACCTGCCTGGAGCCTGGTCCCTTCGCTGTCCGTGCAACCGCTTTGCCCGCTCCTACCTTCTTGTGATAGAGCCGGGCCGGAGCTGACAGCTCCCGGGCGGGCAGGCGGGGGCTCCGCAGCAGCAGCGCGGACGCCGCCCGCCTCAGACAGCCAGCTCCAGCCGCCGCCATCTTGCCGGCCTGCCAAAGGCGCCGAGGGGCGGGGCGCGCTGTCGAGTCGCTCTGACGTCACCGCGGCTTCGCGCCTGCGCTCTTCAGCTCCAAGCACGTGTCTCCCTCTTGGCCCCGCCTTGGCCACGCCCCTTGGGGGCGCGGACGGGTGCGGAGCGGGAAGGTCTGAAGTCGCGCAGGGCCGGATTCTGCGTAGGAATTCTCAGGCTAATGGAGTGCAGGACTCAAGTTCACGTTCAAAGGCTCGCAGCTGGAATGCAGTGCAGGGGACTACTCAGGCCGCCTTTCCTAACCTTACATTGCAAAGGCCGCTTTTCCTAACCTTTTTTTGAAGCGAAGGAAGCTGACCTGAAGACCTGCCCAAGGTCTCTCAGAGAATTAGGTTCATTTGGGATTAGAATTTGAATAATCCTGGGTTAAACTGTTGGTTCTGGCTTTGTAGCCTTAGACGAATGACGTCGACTCGCTAAGATTCCTTCTTTTCTTTTGTACTAAGTTAAGGACAGTGCTTTCATCCATAGAGCAAATTAATACGTGTTGACTACCACTGTGTCTAAGGTGCTCTACTTAGACACACTGGACCCTGGGACGCCTACGGAAAGTGAACCAGACATAATTCCTGCCTCATTAATCCTGCTAATGAGGGAGAAAGGGAGAAAACAGAAAAATATCCCAATACTTTCCTACCTCAAAAATGGGAAGCTTAATTAAGGGACACAAAACACCATGCCCTGATTTTTAAGAAATACGTTTTTGTCTATTTTTGTATAAAACAATAGCAAACGGTTACCATTTTTACGATGGGTTGTTTCTAAAGCAATGCTTATTATAATTTATTAATATTGGCTTGCCGAATATGAGTTTATAAAATCGGAAAATTCACGTGTAAACATCCAAGTAGGTTAAATATAGGGAGTCCATCAGAAAATAGATCTTTTTCTCATGAATAGTACAGACGGTCCTTTTCCGAGGACTTGGAGTTTTCCTCTGTATTGCTCGGTTGCTGGGAAACTGAACCACGCTCCAGGGCCGAGTAGGTGTTAAAGCATTATTCCAAAAAAAAAAAAAAAAAATCCTCTTTGACCTTCTCAAGATGGCGTGAAGCCCTCCACTGCAGGCATCACGCTCACTCCATGACTTCCTCTATGGCCTCCACTTCCTGCCCAAAGACCCAACTGCTGTCCGACGTTGTGACGGAACACATGCTATGTTGACGGGTTTTTTTCTTTGATAGAGGTCTTTCGAAGTATATAAAAATATTATAAATTGCGTGTATTTGGTGATTTTCCCATCATCCAACTCTCCCAACTTCCCTTCCGCTGGCAAGAAAGCGGGATTTTGATCAGGCGCGCGCTTGGACAGCCCTATTTCAGCGGGTCTTAGGCGGCGGGGGGGAAAGACCTGAGAGTCACTGGAAGCGCAAGATGGCGACCGCGGCCGCAGCCTCGGCTTCCGAGTCGGAGGCTGAGCCCAAGGCGGGGCCCAAAACTGAGGAAGAGGTGGATGAAGTTAAGACGGCTAGGACGAGGAGGAAGATGTTGACCCTCGAGTTAGGGTGGGACCAACAGGAGGAAGGTGTGAGCGAGAGCGACGGGGATGAGGAGTACGCCATAGCTTCCTCCGCCGAGAATTCCCCCGGGGAGTACGAGTGGGAGTACGACGAGGAGGAGGAGAAAAACCAGCTGGAGATCGAGCGTCTGGAGGAGCAGGTGCGCCTGGGGGTGGACGACGGGCGCCTTCCCTAAGGTCCCCAGGCTCTGGCCCGCCTCCGTGCTCCTCCGCGGCAGTGATGAAGCCGCCGGAGTCGCCCGCCCGCTGTCACCCACGGGGCTCCTGTCACCGGGCGCTAGGGCCCGCCTGGGCTCTTCCAGCGCTGGCCCGTAGAATCCTTGCCGACCCCGGGAGGGAGGTGGTGTTACACTCCTGCAAGTGCGATCCGACCCAGACCTCCCCAACAGCACGGTTAAACCATGTCCCGACAGTCGAAGGAAAATCCCATTCGTAAGAGACTCACTTTCTTGTAGGGATAACGGCGATGATGGAATGTGATGTAGCAGGAAAGGTACTGACCCAGGCGGTGGTGGAAATGGAAAGATAGACGTTTCCGCGTCTGAGAGTTAAGGCCCTCATTCTCTTCCTACGATTCCATTCATCCTAGGGCGAATTTCTTAACTTCTTTGAGCCTTGGCGTACATCGGGAGCTACAGTTCCCACATGATAGAATTCATGATAACTACAAAGCTGTACTTGGTACCTAGTAGTGATGTGATTTCTGATCCATAACTTACGGGGTGGCGATACCTTCTGTATAAATAACCCAGGGTCCTAGCAGGAAGCAGTTGGCAAAAACTCAAATGAGGATTAATTGAGCAAATACCAATAAAGGGATGACTGTGATTAAAAAGCGTGGGCAGGAGAACCAGGAGTGAAGGTCCAACTACTAACCTTAGGCAGGAAGGGAGAAAGGAGATGAATGGCAAGTGCGGGGGGCACCTGAGAGCTGCTGAGGGATTGGGGAAGAGTCTCTGCCCTCCCTCCTGCTTTCCTCCGTCCAGACTTCTGTGCCTCCCTCTGGGCAAACACATCTCCAAGCCGGAGAGCCAGAGCCCAAATGTCTACCCTGGGAGCACAGAACAGGGAGGAGAGTGGAGTAGATTTGGAGCTGTTGGCCTGAAAGAGATTGGGCACATTCTCTCTCTCTCTCTTTCTCTCTGTCTCTCTCTCTGTCCTTCCACTGTCTCTTATCTCTCGATGGGATTGGGGTTTGAACTCAAGGCGTGGTGCTTGAGCCACACTTCCAATGCCACAGTCTCATTTTACAGATGAGGAAACAGGCTCAGAAGAAGCCATGACGTCCTTTGTCCTTTCCTTAAAGTCATTCAAAATGGAATTTGAACCCTTTAAAGTTATCTGTGGGCCAGACACCACATTCACCATGCAACTTGTGGCTACCCCAGCTTACTCACATAACCTTGCTGTCACTTTTCATAATGTCCCCTCTGGCATGGGTCTTTTTGTTCAGCTAGGAAATGATACCCACTGGTAGAGTTTGTCCCTTGTCATCACTCTGATTGTCAAAGGAGCCAGTTGGGGCAGGCAGGTGGTTAGTTTCTCCTTTTTATAAGTGCTGATCATTTAGTCTTATTTAGCAAATACTGTGCGGTATGGCATGTCAGACTGATGTGTCTCTGCCCTTTATTGAACTGTTTCGTTAGGCTGCTAGCCTGGACCTTTCCGTGAGCATACTGTTTACTGACTTGGAGGAAATGGGGTCACCTGTCTTAGAGGGGAAGGGAGGCTGGAAGCAGAGGGGTTCCGTCCTTGGTGAGAGGCCTCAACTTCCTGTAGGGGGCGGGTCAGAGCAGAGGTCTCCTAACTGTGGGCGCCCTGCCCCGCCCCAGCTCACTGAGGGTGGGATGGAGCTCAGAAGGTGTCTACACAGGATAGAATCTGTCAAGTGATGGAGACTCTTTGCCGTATTCTGTTTGTCCTGGGGTCTAGATAGCGGCTTTCCCGTTTTTCTCGCCCTCCCTCCCACTTTATTCTAACCCCTCAGCCTCTCCTCCTGCTGTAACTACACTTAGGGTAGTTACAAGTAGGCCTGTGAAGAATGTGATACTAGGGTTTGAACTCAGGGCCTCATGCTTGCTTTGTCTCTACACTTGAGTCATGCCTTCAGCCATTTTTTGCTTTGGTTATTTTTCCTATAGAGTCTTGAGTTTTTGCCTGGGGGTTGGGCTTTGACAGCCATCCTCCTACCTCCATCTTCTGTGTAGCTAGGACCACAGGCAAGTATCACCACACCAAGCTTATTTGTTGAGATGGGGTCTTGTTAACTTTTTGTCCTGGCTGGCTTTGAACCATGATCCTGTAACTCTTCTCCAGCTGGGCTTACAAGTGTGAGCCACTGTGCCTGGCTGAAATGTCTCTCGTGAACCCAGTTCAGTATGCATTTAATACGAATACATTTAGAGTACTTCTTCGTAATTCCATGTAAATATCTTCATTTGGCTAAAAAGTCAGGAGTTTGGACCAGAAGCCACCCTAGAGGCAGTTTCTCCACATTAGTGACTTTTATGCCTTTTTCTCCTGCTGCCTTACACTCCGTACTCATGGGAAGGCACTTGCATAGGTATTTCTGACACTAGCTAGCAAGGACTCTTCCACTACTGTTTGTGTCAGAAAAACACATTTGGACTCAGGTGCATGGACAGAGGTGACAACTGTGAATGTTCTTTAATGAAGAAATGAAGAAAGCATGCCTTTCATCAACTGTACTTTTTAAATTTGTATCTTTTCCATTTTATTAGGATATATTTATTGTGACATTTCTGAATAGCCTTACCATCAACTATACTTTAACTTTTTTATTTGAGACATTGTCTTACTATGTAGCCCAGCTGGCTCCAAACTCATGATCCTCCTGCTTCAGCCTCCTGAGTGCTGGGATTACTGCCATGCGCCACCACGCCTAGCTTAAGTGCTGTTATTTTGTATGTCATGCTTGACACCTGATTTTGAAAGTATGTCATGATAACCCACATGAGATCCAGAGCTTTGCTCCATCACTCCCATAGCACCAATGAGGAAAGTTGAGAGTGGGGAGGGCTTCGATCAGTTGTCTCCTGACCTGGGCCAGTGCTTTACAACCCATCATGTGCTCATCGGATGGGTTTGGCTTGTCACATTTTGTGAATCATGAGCAGGAGAACATCACTAAAAGTTTTAGAGCTTTTTTCCTAATTACTGAGCATGTTCTTATGGTTACTCATTCTTTATTCATCTTTTCTAGTTCCCCTATATAGAAGAATTTCACTAAGTACTGTTTTTCAAACTAGGGTCACAGTATGGGTCATGGACTTATTTCATCAGGTAGCAACCAGTGCCACCACAGTTGTGTACTTTTCATCCACATGTGGCTGTTTCTTGGCTCTGTTTCCTATTCCGTTGGTCAGTTTGTCTTATCTTGTGCCAGTTCCATAAGTTCAACTTCTTATTCCTGAGGCCCCATATCTTACAGGACAAATCCTCCTACCTGATTTTTTTTTTTTTTTTTTTGGTGGTACTGGCTTTGAATTCAGGGTCTCAGGCTTGCTAAGCAGGCGCTATACCACTTCAGCCATTCCGTCAGCTTCTGATTTTATTTCTCAAGGTTTGTTTTAAAATTTTAAAAATTTAAATCATAATTGGGCTTTTTTAATCAAATGCCTTTTCTACATCAAGATTTTCCCCTTCATTGCTAGAGTGGAAAATTACAGTAATTGCTTTTGTGATGCAAAACCACCATGCCATTTCAAGAGTGGCATGTGAACAGATGAGATGCGCTTTTTTTTTTTTTTTTTCACTCAGCATCATCCTCTCCTGACTCCTTGGAGTTGTGTGTATGGTCAATTCAATCCCTTTGAGTAGTATCCCTGACATGGATGGACCATGGCTAGCTTGACCAAAATTCACCCCTTGTTTTTTGGGTGGTACTAGGGTTTGAACTCAGGTCTTCAGGCTTGCTAGGCAGACACTCTACTTCTTGAGCTACTACTTCTTCTAGTCCTTTTTGCTCTGGTTATTTTATAGATAGGGTCTTGCGTTTTGCCCATGTGGACCTGGACCACAATGCTTCTATTTTGTGCTTCTGCCATAGCTGGGATGACTGTTATGCACCACCACACCCAGCTTTTTTCTATTGAGATGGGGTCTTATGACCTTTTTGTTGTTCTTTTTTTGCCTGAGCTGGCCTGGAACCATGATCCTCCTGATCTCAGCCTCCCACATAGCTTGGTATGAGAGCCATGTGCCTCTGTGTCCAGCTGTTGGTTGAAATGGTGTCTCTTGAGCTGTTGGCTTGGGTTGATGTCTAACAGTGATCTTCCTGATCCCAGCGTCCCAAGTAGCTAGGTGTGAGCCACTGGCGCCTGGCAGCCTTCACCTATGAAAGACATTTGAGCTGCTTGTTGCTAGGGCCAACACTACTATGACCATCATGTGCAGGTGTGGGTGAATGAGCTTTTCTCTGTCTCTGGGCACATGGCCAAGAGTGCACTTGCCAGGTGTGGAGATGGTAGTAGTGTGTTGAATTTCCATACTGTTTTCAGATGTTACCTTCCTACAAGCAGTGTCTGAGGTATGAGTGGTCCAGTGTTTTTGCCATCATCACTAGCTTTTGGTGTTGTCTCTGTTTTTTATTTTAGCCATTCTCAAAGCTGTGTAACGACATTGTGGTTTTAATTTGCATTTCCTTGCTGGCTAATAGTGTTGAATACCTGTTTATGTGTGCCTGTTTGCCATCTGTGTGTCCTCCTTGGTAAAATGTTTTATTTTTTAATTGGAGTTTTTTATGATTGAATTCAGAATTATATCTTTTAGCTATTAGTCTTTGGTTAGCTTGCAAGTTATTTTTCCCATGCTGTAGCTAGGTTTTTCATCCTCTTAGGGCCTTTTATAAGAACAAAAGTTTTAATTTTAAAGAGGTCCAATTTAATCATTTTTTCCTTTTGTTAATTATGATTTTGGTATCAAGGAATTCTACCTAACTGTTGTTCCTGAAGATTTTCTCCAATGTGTTTTCTGGATATTTGATAGTTTTATGTTTATCCTTAAACCTGTAAAGCATTTGGAGTTACTTTTTGTGTAAGATGTGATGTTTAAGTCAAGGTTTATTAACTTTTTTTTTTTGGTGGGACTGGGATTTAAACTCAGGGCTTCATGCATGCGTAGCAGGTGCTCTACCACTTGAGCACACCTTCAGTTCACTTTGCTCTGGTTATTTTTGAGATGGGTCTCTTGAACTATTTGCCCAGCTAGCCTTGAAAGGTAATCCTCCCATCTCAGCCTCCCAAGTAGCTAGGATTACAGGTGTGAGCTACTGGTATCCAGCTAGATCAGGTTTATTTATTTATTCTCTCCCTCTCCCTCTTCTATTCCCACTGCCACTCATCCCAGTGTGTAATCCAGGCTGGCCTTGAACACGAGATCCTCCTGCCTCCGCCTCCCTAGTGTTGGAATTACAGGCATATGCAACCATGCCTAGCTGCTTTTTGCCTGTAGATACCCTGTTGCTCCAGCATCATTTGTTGAAAAGGCCCTTAGCTTCCCTGAAATACATTTGCATTTTAGTCAACTATTTTTGCATATGTATATGGGTCTATTACTAGGTTTTATTTTCTTCCATTTGTCTTTATCTAATATTCTGCCAATTTCACACTATCTCGATCATTGTAGCTATATTGTAGGTGTTGATATCAGGTAGAATGATCCTTACCACTTTCCTTTTTAGAGACTTATTCTAAGACCTGTGCTATTCCATGTAAATTTTAGAATAAACTTGTCTACATCTGCAAAAAGTTCTTGTTGGGATTATGATAGGAGTTTTATTAAAGTAATTCAATTTGGGGAGAATTTACGTCTTTCCTTTTTTTCTTTTTTTGGCAGTGCTAGGGTTGAACTCAGGGCCTCATGCTTGCTAGATAGGTACTCTGTGACTTGAGCCACTCTGCCAGCCCTTCTTTCCTATTCTTTTGTGGTAATTTTGTATCTAAGTATTTGATGTTTTTGAAGTGATTGTAAGTAGTACTGTGTTTTTAATTTTGGCCTTTATATGTTCAATATGTTTTGTATATTGATCTTGCGTTCTGTGACCTTGCTTACCTCATTCTAGGCAGTTTTTAATTTTTGTTTTGATTCCTTGGGATTTTTTATATATACAGTCATGTCATCTACGTATCAGTCAGTTTTATTTCTCCCTTTCTAATCTCTGTGCTTTTTTTCCTTTTGCTTGTCTTACTGAACAGGTTTCAACTTCTAGAACTCTGTTGAAGAGGACTGGTGAGGGTCCCGATTTTAGGAGGAAAGTAGTCAGCTTTTTCTCATATGAATGATGTTAGCTGTAGGTTTGGAACAGATGCTTGTTATTAGGTTGAGGTAGTTCCCCTCTATTCCTAACTTGCTGAGAGTTTTTATCATGAGTGCTTGTTAGGTTTTGTCCAATGTGTTTTCTGCATCCACTGATAGCACGATTTTTCTTTTTCAGCCTGCTGCTATAGTGGATTAAAGTGATTAATTTTCTTATATTGAATTAGTCTTGCATATCTGGAACAAATCTCACTTGTTTTTATACATTGATATACTGGGTTTAGTTCTTTTAAGTCTCCCTCTGCTCTGTCGCAGCTGCATCCTATTTATTTTGATTTGCTGTATTTTCATTCTGTGTAGTTTTAAATTTACTTTGCGACACTCCCTTTGACCTGTAGATTATTTAGAAGTGGCATTGCTTAATTTCCAAGTGTTTATAGATTTTCCTGTTATTGGCTTCTAGTTTGAGTCCAGTGTGGACAGAACATCTTTGTATGATTTCGTTTCTTTTCATTTTGTTCAGGTTTGCTTTATAGCCTAGGATGTGGTCTTGTTGAATGCTCTATGGTCACTTGAGAAAATATGTATTGTGGTGTTGTTAGGTGGAATGTTCTGTGTATAAAATTAGATCGTGTTTGGGTTTGGGCTCTATATTCTTGCTAAATTTTCTGTCTAGTAGTTGCTGGAAGAAGGATGTCTAGTCCTCAAATAAAATTGTGGGTATGTCTTTCTTCTTTCAGCTCTGTCAGCTTGTACTTCCTGAATTATGAGGTGTCAAGATTGTTTAGGATTGTGATGTCTTGGTAGATTGCTTCTTTTATCATTATGTGATTCTCTTTTGTCTTTGCTAATTTTCTTTGCTTTGAAGTCCACTTTATGTGATATTAATATATCTGTCTTGACTTATTTTAATCCATGCTTGCACTTATGTCTTTGCTTGTCCTTTTACTTTGAATCTGTATCTTTGATTTTTTTTCTTTTGGTGGGACTGGGGTTTGAACTCAGGGCTTCACACTTGCAAAGCAGGCACTCTTCCACTGAGCCACACCTTCAGTCCATTTTGCTGTGGTTATTTTGAAGATGAGGTCTCTTGAACTATTTGCCCCAGACTGGTCTCAAACTGTGATCCTCCAGTCTCAGCCTCTCAAGTATCTAGGATTATAGGTGTCTTTGAATTTGAGGTGGGTTTCATGTGATCAGTATGCAGTTAGGTTGTATTTTTATCTATTCTGCCTTGTAATTAGTATGTAGACTGTTTACATTTAACTTAAGTATCCATATGGTTGGTGTTATTCTCTGTTTCCTTTGTTTCTCATTCTTCTGTTTTTTCTTCTCTTGGCTTCCTGTGGGTTATTTGAACATTTTAAGGGCACCGTCTTGATTTGTTTACAGTGATTTTTAATTTTTTGTGCTACTGGGGTTTGAACTCAGGGCCTTTACTTTAATCTAGTCCACCAGTCCTATTTTTGTGATGGATTTTTTTGAGATAGGGTCTCATGAACTGTTTGTCTGGGCTGGCTTCAAACCTCGATCCTCCTGATCTCTACCTCCTGAGTAGCTAGGCTTACAGGCGTGAGCCACTAGTGCCTGGGTTTTAATGTTTTGTTTTGAATAATTTCTTTTTGTTTGCTTTGGTTATTAATATATACCAATTCAACTGATGTGGTATTATTCTTTTACTACTTGAGAAGGGTGGAAAGCTTTCATTTTGGCCTCTTTTCCAGTCTCACTTTTGTAGATCACTGTCTTGGGTAGCAGATGGTCTTAAAATGTCTGTGTCCTCATTGTATATGATTTAGAAACCCTCCGCCCCTGAGGAGACAAGGATTATCTATTGGGCTTACCCATATTTCTGCTCTTTCTCTGTTCTTTCTTCCTGTCTGAGCTCCAAGAGTCCTTCTTCTATCATTTCTTTTGTTTGAAGTTCTTCATACATTCTTTGGATGTTCTTCAAGGATACATCTTCTAATGATATTCTTTTAGTTGTCCTTTGTCTCAGATGTCTGATGACTTTAAAAATATTTCAACTTGTTTTTAACTTTTAGTTTGAAAATTTCAAATGTAAAAATAAGCCTTTATATGCTTGTATTCAGCTTCAATAGATACCAGCTGTTTTAGAGAAACCTGATCACTGTGTGTGAGAACTGACTGGTAGGCAGAAGGGGCTATGAGACTGAAGACAGCAGATAGAGCCAAGATTGCAAAAAGTGCAGTTACTGGGAACTTATGGATAGAAGCATGGCTTGGGTGGCATCAAGACATGGGTGGATCCCTGCATCCCAAGGCAGGATGAAAGGGGTTTAGAAGGCTGGGCCACGACCAACCAGAATGTACCTGGCCTTTCCCGAAAACTTTTAACATGACCTATATCAGCTATAAACAGTCTGTACATCATTGACTGGTACTGACTGTCTTTACAGCTTTGTCCTTACAGGGCTTGGGTTGTGTGCCAGGGTTACCTGGAGGGCAAAATGATGGTTATGACCAAGATGGCTGTAGTCATGTCAAGCTGGATTCCTACTCCAACCTGTTGCCATTGTCATTTCTTTAATATAGGGATTTTCATCTTTTGTTTAGTAAAATAAAAGAGCTCTTGCAGTGCAGCTGTCGTTTGCTAAATTACTCTTTTTAAAAATATTTTTTTTGGTGGGATTGGGGTTTGACCTCAGGGCTTTGCAAAGCAGGTGCTCTACTGCTAAGTCACACCTCCAGTCCATTTTATTCTGGGTTATTTTGGAGATGGGGTCTTGGAACTATTTGCCTGGGCTGGCCTAAAACCACGATCCTCCCAATCTTAGAAAAGTAGCTAGGATTACAGGCGTGAGCCACCAGTGGCTGGTTGCTAAATTACCTTTTAAAATCCTTACATGAGCCTATCAGCTAGCCTGGCAGTGTTCCGATTTTATAGATGAGGAAATGGAGGCTCAGGAAAATTGCTCACTTTCTGTTTGTTTTGTTGAATGTCTCCTTCATTTCAGAGGACCCAAGTGTCTTCTTACAAGAATTGTAAGAATGATGGGGCTTTATGTTTATTGTAAAAAACTCCTGTTGTGTCATATTTTATCATCGTCTTCCTGAGCGCAACTGTCGCATTGCCATTTCAGTGACTCTCCCACGAAGCACATTAATTTTGTTTGTGGCAGAAAAGTGCTGTTAGATTGAAAAAGGCCCAGGAGGATAAGCAGGAGATGGCTCATTGTTAGCACAGGTTTTAGTCGAGAGAAGAAGCCAGCAGATACTGGAGCCCACTGTCACTTACAGACTGCAGATAGTTATAGGAGGGTAGTGGGAAAGTGCTGGGAAACTGGCTAGGCCTGAGGATTTTGTGATTGGCTTGTTGCTAGGGGTAGGCGGTGATTAGGTCAGTTACTCAGCTAACTCTTGCCCCTGTTGACAGTGTCAGAAAGTGGATTTTTATCACTCTTTGGGGCCAGGTGTGATTTTTCCAGTAAGTGAGGGGGTGTTTCCAATCAGCTGCCCACAAAGGGGAGGGGGTATACTCCTAACATAGCGGTCACCAGAGGCTATTTTGTGGCTGGCATTTAAAAGACCAACCTTGGCTACTTGTTCTTTTAGCTGTCCATCAATGTCTACGACTACAACTGCCATGTAGACCTGATCAAGCTGCTCCGCCTGGAAGGGGAGCTCACCAAAGTGAGGACGGCTCGCCAGAAGATGAGCGAGATCTTTCCCTTGACCGAAGGTAATGCTTCCTTGATGCACAGAGAATTGATGAGTGCACTTTTTTTTTTTAGTGCTGAAAAAATAGAAAATTTGGAACATATAGCACAGTGGAAAGAAAGGCTATCATTAAGAGTTAGCTATTTTAGGTTCTTGCCTTGTAGTTTTTTTTGCAAAACGTTGTGATTGTGCAACACAGATTCACGTTTGAGTCCTGGTTTCTTTTATCCTAATACTAGGATGAAGTTTTTTCTATGTAATTAGAATTATGTAATTCTAATGTTATCCTGGTCTCTTTCCTATTCCAGTATGTATGCACTTAACCCATTCTCTCAGAACCCGAAAATTGTAAATGTAATCAATTAAACTTAGGAAGTTTAATGACAATGTTTCATATGTTAATTGTTACACAGCAGTTGTGCATTTAGGTTATTTCTATATATTTGCTTACTAGAAGCATAGTTGCCCTAGGCAACTTTGTAGTAAGTCTTCATGAATATTCTTAAGTGCTCTTTTGGGCCGGAGTTGGAAAACCAGTTTCTAGGCCCAGCTGTGTCCCTGTTTCCTCCAGCAAAATGCTGCTGAGTGTAGATGCTGAAATTACATTGCCCTGGTTCATTCCTAGCTTGACTGCTCACTAACTTTGAGGCCTTATGCACATCATGGAAACAGTCTAAGACTCAGCTCTCCTAGCAGTAAAAAGAGGGTAAGAGTAGTTTCTGTCATGCAGTGTGGGACAGAAGAGGATAAGCTGTTTGTAACAACACTTAACACAGTGGGCAGATTGTAAAGCCTTAGATGGATGCCAGTATCATTAATGTCACTGTCACCTACCTTACAGGGTTGAGATAAAGACTGAATGCAAAAAAAAAAAAAAATTACACACACACATACCTATCCTTTGCAAAATATAAAATGCCTAATAGGTGTGGGCTATAATGATTTTAGTAATTGCATCTTATTTAGAAGCATAACTTCTTGTGTGTGCTTGGTTCTAGTTTTAAGAATTGTATTTCTGTGAACTGGGTAGTTAAAATGGATGAAATATTTGTGTGTGGTGTTTCCCGATAAAGCCTGCCCTTAGCACACCTTTGGTGGTGGTGATAACACAGTGGTGCTGTTCTCCTAGAGCTCTGGCTGGAGTGGCTGCACGATGAGATCAGCATGGCCCTGGACGGCCTGGACCGCGAGCACGTGTATGAGCTCTTCGAGAGAGCCGTGAAGGATTACATCTGTGAGTTCTGGGGATGGTGGCTAGGGGCCTGGCAGTGCCACCTAGATCAGTCTTTGCTGTCCTGGATTATGTTATGAGATGCTGCTACCTGGAAAACAGAGCATTGGCCTACCAAGTAGAAAAATTTAAGTCTGGTTTTCTTTGTCATTATCTTTTATATTCAATTGAGGTATTTGGTTTTAATATAAAAGTGGAAATAGTAGCAAGGAATGAATTTCACCCTCTTCATCATTCTCACTTATCTATCTTCACCTACCCCTAGCCCTTTTTAGCTTTAGTTATTTTTCAGTTAGGGTCTCTTATGTTTTGCCTGGGGTTGGCCTCAGACTGCAATCCTACTTAGGCCTCCCATTTAGCTGGGGTCATAGGCATATACCATCACGCCCAGCTTATTTGTTGAGATGGGGTTTCACTGATCGCCTGAGTAGTTAGGATTACAGGCATGCCTCACCACGACCAGCTAGTATTTTTAGTTTAAAAGGTTAGTGGATAGGCCTCTGAAATTTTTTTCACATACCTGGAAAGTGACTTAATAAGCAGAAAGAACTGATGCATTCATGGAGATTAGTCTGGTTTTGCTGGGGACATGGCTCAAGTGGTAAAGTGCTTGACTGTGATGTTCAAATCCCAGAACTGCCAGCAACAACAAATCATATAATTAGTCACTTTGGTCTTAAAGACCCAGGGGTGAGTATAGAAAAAGGTTTAAAAGAAAGTGAAAGAAACAGGCAATCACGTTTCTTCTTTTTGTTTGAAGATCATTAAAAATGGAACTTTAAAATACAGATTTCTAGGCAGGCTCTCTACCACCTGAGCCATACCCACTCACCCTGAGCCCACTAAAATACAGATTTCTAATGACAGGCTTAATGCTTTTAATTTATTCTTTCACTTTGACCAGAAGATGTGAAAAAGAATTAGGGTTCAAAAGTAAAGAATTCTAGGCTCTGAGAGTTTTCTGAAGAGCGACTCAACTTTATAACCATTGTCCTTGAAGTCCAATAGGGTTTCTTCAGGATTTTTCACCCCTGTGCTGGGGATCAAAGCCAGCACCTTATGTATGCTATGCACTGCTATGCCATTGAGCTGCATCCCCAGCCTCCTTCAGTTTTAGTAAACGAGCTTTATATTGCAGTTGTCTTACTACCTGTGGCATATACTGTTTATGCAGCAAAATCTCAACAGTATTCCTAGTCCGAATGTGTATTAGGACGTGATTCTTTTCAGGCCAGAGTATTAGGCAAATTGGGATGCATCTTGATGATGCTCTTTTTTGCATGAATGGGCACTTTTTTGGTGGGCACATGTCCCGTTATCCTGTTACGTATCTGTTTGGTATTTGGGTATATTGTGTCCTGAACTAATGCAATGTTTCTCATTTTTAGGCCCTAATATTTGGCTAGAATATGGCCAGTACTCTGTTGGTGGTATTGGTCAGAAAGGTGGCCTTGAGAAAGTTCGCTCTGTGTTTGAAAGGGCTCTGTCATCCGTCGGCTTACACATGACCAAAGGACTGGCCATCTGGGAGGCGTACCGAGAATTTGAAAGTGCCATTGTGGAAGCTGCTCGGGTAAGTGCCAAAATCTCTGTGGCCCAAGCTTGCCTCTGAGTGGTGAGGGACTGTCCTTGTCACTTCTTTGGATGTGTTACTTTGAAACAAATATCTAAAATGAGTCTTAGAGTTAATATGGTTAAGCAAATGGTCTGCCAGTCTGTTAGTGGATGGGCAGTAAAACAAATAAAGCCAGTAGTCTGTGGAGTAGCAAGGATGATTTCTTTGATTTAAAAGCAAATGACTGCTTTTTTCTCTTGAAATTTAAAAATAGAACTATATAGTTATGTGGTTCCAAGTTGAATGTACAAGAATAGCGTTGTCACTAAATATAGATACAGATCTATATGTACATGTCTCTCTAGCATTGTAGAAATGTGGCATGTGTCATGTTTAATTATAACTGAGGGGAGATTGACCTCATCAGAATTGCACTTTAGACTGTGAGTTACAGAATCTCACAGCTGTGTCCTCTAACTGCAGGTGAGTAATCGACACGTACTAGAGCCCTCTAATGCATACATCATTCATTAGAGGCTGAGCATAAACTGAAAATCCAAATCCAAAATGCTGTAAAGTCTAAAACTTTCTGAGCACTGACATGATACCACAAATGGAAAATTCCACACATGACTTCATGACAGTGGATCGCAGTCAAAAATACAGGTGCTCCAATGATATTGTATAAAATTACTATTGGGCTGTATGTATAAAGTTTATGAAGCATAAATGAACCTTGTGTTTGGATTTGGCTTCTGTCTCCAAGATATCTTATGTATATGCACATATTCTAAAATTTGAAAAGATCTGAAATTCAAAACTTCTGAAGTAGCCCCAGTAACATCTTCATTTCATCCTGTTCAAAACTCTGCAGTGGGGCCTCCAGCTAAGCCAGAGTGAGGCACCACAGCTGAACCTCTGCCTGGCATCCGCAGCTCTCCAGTGTCAAATGTCATCCTTACATGGACTCTGCTTGCATTGTCCCCCAAACATTTTTTTTTTTTGAGACAGGCTCTTGCTTTGTAGCCCAGGCTGGCCTAGAACTCGAGATCCTTCTGCCTCTGTCTCCTGCCTTGTACTGGGCAGCACTGTGCCACCACATGAGGTATGAGGCTGCCTCAAACATTCTGGCACTTTCTTGCCACTGTACTTTTACTCACCCTGTTCCTTCACCTGGAAGTCATGGCCTGCAGGCTCTCCAATGTGCTCACTTCTACATGAGTCTTTCATCATTTCCTCCTTGGATAACAGCCACTCACTCCTAAAACCAGCATGAGCAGGCCAAGCGATACTGTGATCCTTCACTTTATGAGACTTTGGTTCTTCCATATTGCAGTCATTTGATAGCTTTCTTATACTCCATTCTCCATTCCCTGTCATAAACCCTTGCATGCAGAGATGACGTTTCTTTTTGTGCACTTCCTAGCATTTGGCATGATACTTTGTGAATAAGGTGTCATAGAATGGTTTTAGTTTGAATTGAAAATTTGTTGAGATGTTTTTTGAAGTAGAAAGAACCAAAGTTTGTCATTTACTACTGATTTGCTTCTTTAGCCCATAGCTGGCTTCCTTTCCCCTTTTGACCGGGAACAAACCTTTGATTCACAGCTTGAGAAAGTGCACAGTCTCTTCCGGCGACAGTTGGCGATCCCGCTCTATGGTAAGAGAAACTGACTTGTCAGTAGCCAGTCCTTTGTGGTTTTAAAATGCTTCCCCATTTCCAGTATCCTCTGAGTGAGGTTGGGTCATTCTGGATGAGCTCCTTAGGAAAATCCTACTTTGACTTGTTAATGCCCAAGAGGGTCAGAGGCAGGACTAGCAGCCAGACACCCTGGCACCCAGTTGAGATCTCTTTCCTACTTCAAGGCATAATTGGAAAGGGAGAGATGGGGTCTCTGCAAGGAATAGGGAAGCTATTGAATAAGAGTTTTATTATTATTAAGTATTTTCCCTCTAGGAGAAGCCCATGCCATGTAGGGATTTTTACATGGGTGATATCAGTCCTCTGTGAGGTGATTTACTTAAAAAATACAGTTAATCACAAGTATTCATGTCTGAATTTCTTGGGGTTTGGTAAAAAGTCTGTCTTCTGGGAGAGTATATTTTGGCAAGACAAGTCCCTGTGACTGTGAGCTGTGAGCTTGGGTGGCCCTGGGAGGACTTTTCAGTGTGGGAGGCACTTGGCCCTGCCCTTGTCTGTCCCCTAGGCACTGTTATGCTTTGTCCACACTCAGAGCCTTTGGCAACTTCACTTAAGCCCAGCTGTTATTTCCCTTTTAACTTCATGGTTTATTTGGATTTGAAATAATATATTAGAAAGTAACTGTGTAATCGAATTATTGGGTGACATGCAGAAAAGGCCAGCACTGAACTGGTTTGTAGATTCCATCTCACACACTGGCATGAGACTGCCTGGCTGCCTGATTAAAAGCCTTGCTCCTCTGTTCCTGTGGACAAGTTACTCACCCCTCATTTTCTTCTACTGCATAATGAGGATTACAGTAGAACCTACCTTGTAGACTTGTGAGGATCAGATGAGGTAATGGATGTGATGTTAGGACATGACTTGAAATACTAGGTAAGTGTTGTTAAAAAGTATTGCTCGTAGCTTCACTGACTCTGGTTCACTAGCTGGTAGGATTGCTTGGCATACTGTTTTGTGAGAAATTCTAAGACCAAGTCTGGGCTCAACAGAAGAACTCAGAATCTAATCAGAAAGAGCCATCATGGCCACAGATATGGGAGGGGCTAGTGGTACATGAGTCCCATGGCTTTTTCTATGTTTGGGTTGATAAAACCCAATGGCAAGACCCATGGGCTGAATTTATCTTTTACTAGATATGGAGGCCACATTTGCAGAGTATGAAGAATGGTCAGAACACCCAATACCAGAGTTGGTAATACAGAACTATAACAAAGCACTACAGCAGCTGGAGAAATACAAACCCTATGAGGAGGCACTGGTAAGTTTTGACTGCTTTTCTAGTAGATTCTCCACAAACATTTCCCTGATCAATAGTTGCAAATTAAACAATATGACAGAAGTTTGTTTTATTGTGAATATAGAGTGTATAAATGTGTATATTCAGTTTACATTCTAATAATAAAGTGAACGTCCGTGTACCCACCACCCAGGTTAAGAAATAGGACATTGCCAGTACCTTAGACGCCTCCTATGTGCCCTCCGATTGCCTCCTCCTCCCTCTCCCGAGAGGTAACCACTGTCCTGACTTTTGTGATGATCATTCCCTTGCTTTTCTTTATAGTTTTACAACCTATGAACATCTCCTTAATTAATATATTGTTTAATTTTGCTTGTTTTTGAACTTTTATATAAGGGATTCATGTTGTATATCTTTCATGCAACACATATTTGGGTTTTACTCGTGTAGATAAAAGTGTAGTTACGGTTCATTTGTTTTCACTGCATAAAGTTGTGTATTCCACAGTTTTTTAATCTGTGGGGCTGGGTAGTTGGGTCATTTCCAGTCTTTTGCTAGGAGGAGCAGTGTTCTGAGCATTGTTGAGTGTTACCTCCTGGCACATATGGAAGAGTCCCTCCAGAATATGTGTACTTGAGAGCAGAACTGCCAGAGCAGAGGCTTTTCAGGTTGTCACTTTGCACCCTGCCAAACTTCTCATTGCTGTGCCAGTCATGTCTATTAACATACCTAAATTTTAGCCCCTCTGATGAGATTTCAGTTTTAATTTGCATTTTTCTTGTTTGCTAATGAAGCTTAGCATCTTTTCATGTTTATTGGCCATTCAGATTTCCTTTTTGGTGAAGTGCTTGTTAAAGTCTTTGGCTTAAAAAGTTTTTTCATTTGTCTTTTTTCTGATTGCTTCCTGGGAGTCCTGGGTCTTAATCCTTGTATGTATGCAAAAGTCCCCCTTCCCCACTCCTGTTCCTCCACTCTCCCCTGAGCCAAGTTTGTGGCTTGTCTTTTCCTTTTTTAAAAATGGTATCTTTTGATAGTGGTTCTTAATTATCTCTATTTTCTTCTTAAGTTTTGTGTTCTTCATTTCATGTTAGGTCTTCATCCAGCTGGAGTTGGTTTTGTGTTTAATCAGAGCTATAGCCCATTTTCATTTTCTGGCGTGGAGAACCTGTTGTTCTGGTCCTGACTCTCATGGTTTCATCCACTCTGCCTTGCCACATGTGGCAGAGATGAGCTGTCCTCTTACGGGCTTCTAGGTTCTCCATTCTATCCCGTTGGTTTGAATTACATTGTCATGATGACGATAGTCTTATGCTGTTTTGATCTTGGATTGTTTAGATCCTGTCCACTTTGTTCCTCTTCTAGAGAGGTTTGGCTTTCTTTAGCTGTTGGTGCTTCCACCAAACATAGAATCAACTTTTTAAATTCTGTTGCGTTTTTGCAAAGCAGACACTCTACTGCTAGAGCCAGACCTCTTTGAAAACATTTTTTAGATGTATTTCTAAATGGTTTTAGATATACTTCTAAAGACTTTAATTTCTTTAAAATTTATTTTTTAAGAGTTTTATTTTCTTGGCACATAAAATGTGATTGATACTTCAATTTTTTATGTATCAAACTTGCTAAATTTTAATTATTAATTTATAGTCTTGTATATTCTCTGTTGGCAATATTATATGCAAATGGAATTTTTTTCCCTTTGTGTTCTTAGCGTAAGACTTTTGCTTCTGTTTTCTTGAGTTTGTTTTGTCTTTTTTTTTCTTTTTGATAGTACTAGGGTTTGAACTGAGAACCTCACACTTGCTAGAAAGATGCTCTCCCTCTTGAGCCAGCCTTGTTTTGCCTTTTAGTTTGGCTCTCACCAGGCATCATTGTTAACACTATATTATACAGTCACAGTTTGTTTGCGTTTACTTTGTGCATTTCCTGCTTTCTTTGCTCTGCCTTCTTGTAGCTTGGATCTTTCATCTAATACCACTTTTCTTTGGCGTGGAGTATAGCCTGTATTCTCTTGCACTGGAGATCCTTGGTAAGATTTTCTCTGGTTTTGTCTGTTGAAAAGCTGCTTTCCTTCCTGAAAGTCATTTTCTTAGGATATAGATTCTGCACTGACAGTTATGTTCTCAACAACTGAATGCTTCTTTCTGTCCTTTGGCTTCTTTTGTTGCCATTGGGAAGTTGGTTGTCTAACTCTTGCTTCTTTGAAGGTGATAATTGTTTTTTGTCTGGCTTTTGTTTAAGATTTATTGGTTTGATGTTCTATAATTTCATTACTATAGGTCTAGGGATAGATAGCTTTTTATTTATTCTGTTGGCGAATCCTTAGGCTTCATGAATCTGTTGTCACTGTCTTTCTTGCAATACTGAGTGACAGTGTAGACTTTGCGAGTTGGGCTATCTCAGGTTTGAGCCCTAGCTTTCCCACTAACTCTGACTCTGGGTTCAGCACCAGTCCCTGTGTCTCAGTTTCCCTGAATGTGAGTGGGGGTAGTAGTAAGACTTGACCCAATGTGTTTTGAAAATCAAAATCTTACTATGTGTTAAAGCCAGCAAATATTTACATTTCCTTGGTTTGCTGCCCTCTCTCAGATTTTATCCTTAGTATTTCTTGTTTCTTTCTAAGTTCGTTGATGATTTTAAAGATGTTTTTAATATTTAACCCAGGTGTTTGAATGTTTTCAATGGCACAGTGTGTCTGGATAACTAATTCACCATCATTCCTGGAAACCAAGGCTATAAAACATCCTATTTCTATGTATAGAGTACATGCTGTCTCTGGCTGGTCCACATGTGCCCCTCTCCCTTCTTTTTCACACGTAGCTGCCTTCTAAGTATTTGTATTTCACAAAGCCTTGACAGTGAAGTCTTCAACCAGTTCCATTTTGTTATGGTCGACAGCAGAGTGTGACTGAAGAGAAAGCGAGCAGAATGAGAGGATTCTGTCTAAAAATAATTTTGATCATGTGTCTTTGGATTGGTTAACATTCAGCACAGCCTCCTCCGTCTTTGGCCAGTGCCTGTACTCTGGTAGGGTCTGGTGTTTGGAATGAGCTACTTGAAGTAGCACACACCACTGCATTTTTCCAGTTTGGTTGCCTTCACTCTGATCAGTGAGTTCTGTTTTGGAAGGTTGGTCAGCAGTGGTGCTACTCTTTCACTCACTTCCTGCTTTGTGGGCAATTTAAACTTCCCAAGGTCCAGGAATGCATGTAGAAGAGGGTCTTGCAACCCTGGTAATCACTGCCATAGGAGGCACTTTGGACCAGTGGGAAGACTCCCTATGCTCATCAAATTATAGATTGCATCGCATCGTGGAGTAGTTCTGAGAGGGAGGATTTGGTGGTTCTGATTTGGTCTAGCCACTCCTGCAACATTTATTTCATTTGCAGATATTTTGTGCTTTCTGGCAGTAGCAAGTAGCTACATTTAACTTGGGTGCAATTTTCCTGTGCTCCAGTTGGAAGCAGAGGCACCGAGGCTGGCAGAATATCAAGCATACATTGACTTTGAGATGAAGCTTGGTGATCCGGCTCGCATTCAGCTGATCTTTGAGCGTGCCCTAGTGGAGAACTGCCTTGTCCCAGACTTGTGGATCCGTTACAGTCAGTACCTAGTAAGATAACTTCTCTGATTTTGTTTTTGCCAATTTAGAGCCTTTTATGTTAAGAATGTTCCCCATTTCCCCTCTGCTTTTTCTCCCTTTTTTTCCATCCCGCTTTTCTCCTCTTTGCCAGCTTGCTTAGGAATTTTGTCTCATTTGAAGTTACATTAAACTGATCACTAACTACAGAAATTTTGCTTATAACCTTACTATTGAGGACTTAATTCTTTAATCTTTTTTTTTTTTTTGGTGGTACTGGTATTTGAACTCAGGGCCTCACGCTTGCTAGGTAGGTACTCTACCCACTTGAGCCACTCTGCCAGCCCTGTTTTATGTTGTGCATTTTTGAGATAGGGGCTGGAGAAATATTTGGCTGGGACTGCCTTCAAACTGGGATCCTCCTGAGTAGCTAGGATTCCAGGCATGAGCCATTGGTGCCTGACTTCTTTAATCTTTTTATTATGGACAAGATGTAAACATATGAAAGTAGACAAATTAGTAAATGAAGCCTCAACAGAGATTAACAATTACAGCTCTAGTTTGGTTTCATGGTTTCACCTATATGCTTATCTGCTTTCCCCACCTGAGTTATTTTGAAGCAAATCCGGAAGTCATGTTTCATTGGTAAATGTTTCAGTATGAATGTGTAAAAGATCCTCTGTGTGTAAAAGGATCCAGTTGAGGTTCATACACACTAGGATTGGTTATTGTTTTTTAAGGCCCTTTTAACCTATAGGCTCCTCCTACCCTACCCTTCTTCTCTTCCACTCCCCTGGGAATTACTTTGTTGAAGAAACCAGACACAAGAGGCATTTTACTTATTTTTTAAATTCTTTTGAGATGGGGGTCTCGCTATGCAGCCCAGACTAGCCTCAAACTTGCAGTTTTTCTTTCTTGGCCTCCTGAGTGCTCAGATTACAGGTGTGTGCCACCGTACTTGACCTTCATAAGAGGCATTTTTTTGGAGTGGGGTGTGGTACTGAGGTTTGAACTCAGGGCTTCATGCTTCCTAGGTAGGCACTTTACTACTTGAGCCACTCCGCCAGCCTTGTAAGAGAGTTTTAAAGGAAGTTGCTCCTGTCGATTGGTTGTGCTGGCAATGGCTCATTGATGTTGAAATTTCATCTTCTCATCCTGGAATTCTGTGTCATAGGACCGGCAGCTGAGAGTGAAGGATTTGGTTTTATCTGTGCACAGCCGTGCTGTTAGAAACTGCCCCTGGACGGTGGCCCTGTGGAGTCGGTACCTCTTTGCCATGGAGAGACATGGAGTTGATCATCAAGAGATTTCTGGTGGGAATGTTTTTGTGGGAAGACATCTGAGGTTTTTTTTTTTAAGATAGAGTCTTACTGTATAAGTCAGGCTGGTCTTGAGCCTTGTGTCAGCTTCCCTAGTGCTGAGATTCTAGGTGTGAGCCCCTGGGCCTGGTGACTTATAAGTGTTTTCTTCCAAGTGAGAAGCAGACATGTAATGACACCATTAAATTAGCCTAACTCAAGGTTTTATTTGGAATATTGAGTTCTAATGACAAAAAGGGCTTTCAGAGACAGATAAACTGCTCATAGCTGGCTTCCTAGAGCTTCTTAACATTTTTATTCTTACTGTGATTTTCTTCTCTCTCTCTCCTTTTTTTTCCTCCCTCTGGGATTGGGGGTTTGAACACAGGGCTTTGCACTTGCAAAGCAGGTGCTCTACTGCTTGAGCCACACCTCCAGTCCATTTTGCTCGTTTATTTTAGAGATAGGGGAGGTCTTATGGACTATTTGCTTAGACTGGTCTCGAACCTCAGTCCTTCCAATTTCAACCTCCCAAGTAGCCAGGATTACAGGCTTGAGGCACTGGTACCTGGCTTCACTATGATTTTCTAAGTTGTGGTCTGTTCTCTAAACTTATTTGAACTGGACTCTTATTGCAGGGCATTTTGTGAAAGTAGCCCTTTCTAGACACAGTGCTGTAAGAACTTCCCTTTTAAACATTTTTCTCTTGCTCATTTTATCTTTCTGCATCCTGTTTTTATTTGATTTTTATTTTTGTGGTGCTAGGGATCCACCCCCAGGCCTTGTGCATCTGTTATTAGTATTAAAGCAATATAGTATTTTATCATTAGTGGAGTTTGATAATTTTTATGAGCTTTTTTGAATTGGCAGTGAATCTTGACTTCTCGTCCACCTCCAGTGACCTTTGAGAAAGCTCTGAGCGCTGGCTTCATCCAGGCCGCTGATTATGTGGAAATTTGGCAGGCATACCTTGACTACCTGAGGAGAAGGGTTGACTTCAGGCAAGGTATTTAAGTGCATGTGTTTCATTTGCAACTGGAATTTTCCCTAACACGTCTCTGGTGAGAGGGCTCAGTTTCCCCAAATACACTGTGATTGGGTAAATGATGCACACCAATCATTGGTGACTTTCTGCCAGAAATTTTAGCAATATATGACTTTAACAAGTCTCGCTGTGGACTTAAAGAAGAGAATGATGGTCCTTATGTTTTATGCTGGGTCCTGGCAACCTCTGTTGCCTTATCTTTCACTTTCCACTTCTGACCCTTTTAAAAATCCCAAATCCTTTTAAAAAATAAGACTGCTGTGTTTCTTTTAGATCGCTGAATCCTCTATCCTCCCCACCCCCCAAAAGGCAACTAGAAAAACCCTGACTTGTACGCTGTGTCAACTCTACTTCATGCAAGTGTCTTTCAGCCATGTATTGCCTGCATGTGTCACCCCACTTAGAGGACATCCCCCCCACCATGTGGTTTGCCCACAGAGCCCTGTGCTCATCTCTGTCATTGTGCTGTCCATCTATGTTGTATTCTGCTCCTGTGTCTTTCTCTTTTACTTTGTGATGATATAGGGACTGGCAGTTATTTTTGGTACTGGGGTTTGAACTCAGGGTCTTCACCTTGAGCCATTCCACCAGTCCTGTTTTTGTGAAGGGTTTTTCAAGATAGGGTCTCCCCAAACTGTTTGCCTGGGCTGGCTTTGAACTTTGATCCTCCTGATCTGTGCCTCTTGAATAGCCAGGATTATAGGCGTGAGCCACTGGAGCCTGGCAGCAGTTTTAGTTCTGTGTCTTCTTCATGACAAAATTCATTAGTGGGTCTTCAGGCCGTGTAGGTGCAGGATTCAGAAAGAAGACAAGGCTGTGTGACTTTGTAAAGTCTTTCTTGCACTTTCCGACAGATTCCAGTAAGGAGCTAGAAGAGCTGCGGTCCACATTCGCTCGCGCTTTGGAGTATTTGCAGCAGGAGGTTGAAGAGCGTAAGTCTGGTCCTGACCTGCTGCTCTAGTTATGTTACCTGTTCTTGGCTGGTGTACCTTTTCAGCCAAGGGGTACTTGGGAATTTCTTCCTAATTTTCACAATTCTGTTCTTGAAGGTTTCAATGAGAATGGAGATCCAAGTTGCATGATCATGCAGAACTGGGCCCGGATTGAGGTATGTGTTTTTTGACAAATCTCTCAACTTCATCTGCTTTTGAAGGAGTTTTGTTTAAGTAGTGTTCTATTAGACATGAATAAAAACTGGATCAAAATCCCACTGGTGGTCTAGGCCCTGCAAGGATTTGTGTTATTTACTCATTGAGGTGCACATTAGTTTTTCTCTTGGTGAAAACAGCCTCCATCCAGAAGTTGCGCAGTACATGTCCAAATTCTGGATATATTTTTTCGTGGAGGTACCAGGGTTTGAACGGAGGTCCTTACACTGGCTAGGCAGGTGCTTTACCACTTAAGCCACTCTGCCAGCCTCATACATTCTTTTATTTACTTCTTCAGTCCCTCCCCATTGCTTTAGGCATGAGAATGTGCCAAGTGTGTCCCATTTGCCTAACTCTGCCAGGTACCAGGGAAGCAGATGGATACAGTCTTTGCTTACTAAAGCTTTAATTCAGTGCAGAAGACAGATTGGATAAATAGAAGATAGAGGAAATTCAGTATCATTACTGAGCCAAGGACACTAAGCTAAGTGAGACATTGACTCTGTCCTTGATCAACTGGTAGGATTATAAAATTCAAATCATGTTTTATACTCTGAGGGAGAATTAGGCTGAAGAAGGTAACATTTGCTAGGTTGTTTCTCTGTAGGATATTTGTGTTGGAACGTTTTAAGGATGAGGAAACTGAGGCTCACAGAGGTTATATGATGTTAGTTGCCCAAGTTGCATGGTTTGTAAATGGCAGAGGTGACATTTAATACTAGAATAGCCTGTCTTTCTCTGCATTGCTCTCAAATTAAACATCTGTAGTTAAGCTTGATAAAAATAAACAAAATAAACAACTACCCAGTTTGAGTGAGTGCTGGGCTCTTGCTCTGTGTTCACAAGAGGTATTGGTAAACCTTCTTTTCTCCCCCACTGCTGGGTTGGGAAGAAGGTCTTGCCCACACTAGGCTAGCTCTACACCGCTGAGCTACCCCACAGCCTGAAGGCAGACCTTATGAGAGTTGTCACTGCAGAAAGGTAGAAGGGCTCGGTCTGGGCACTGTGCCACTAGAGGGAAACCTGGGTCCTGTCTAGGGATTAATGCAACACTGATAGTCATGAGGTCTTCTTATGTATTGTCTGTTTGCAATGGGTGTCCATGTCAGAAGGTTGGGGTCCTTTCCTAACTGAGCTTGCTGATGCTTTTTAGGCTCGACTGTGCAATAATATGCAGAAAGCTCGGGAACTCTGGGACAGCATCATGACCAAAGGAAACGCCAAATATGCCAACATGTGGCTTGAGTATTACAACCTGGAAAGGTAACTGACCTGGGGTGGGTGGGTCTGTGCTTGTCAGGGCAGTGCCTGCCCTCGTCCTGGGCCTGCTACTTAGAAGGGGCTCCTTCCTTCCTCCTGTCTCTCACAGTAGGTGCCTAGAATTGGGTAAGGCTAGAGAACCAAACAGTACTTTGTGCTTGGGGCTCTTATAGCCATGGATTTTTTAAAAGTTGTTTTTATTTTTGACCATGAGTCTTTTGACTTTTGGAGGTATATTTTTTTAAATTATACTTGCTTTTATAGGAAAATAGAAAATACTAAAAAGCAAAGAAAAGAAAATCTAAATTACTTGGAACCATTGTCTAACACTTAACTAAATGGTTTGGGTATATTTTTTCAGACTTTTTGATGTTTAAATTTTTTTAAAAATGAAATTGTTACTACAGCATATATGTTACAGACTTTTCAAACTGTTTGAATTAATAAATGATGCCTGGTAATAGTTATAACAAGAAGATAAAAAGAATGTGACCAGCTTTTTTATTCATGTATTTTGAACATTATAAGTCAAATATATTTTTACACTACCTTTTTCATTTTCTGAATATGTTTTTTCTATTTGAACAATCATGTGTGCCCAAATAAAATAGAGCATGTACAAAAATATGTGACAGGCTCTTCCATTCCCATGCCCAGATGTGACCACCCTGAAGCCTTGTTGAATATTCCTCTGGATCACAGGTTTTGGTTTCAGGACCCCTTTTACTCTTAAAATGTAAAGACCCAAAAGAGCTTTCTGTTTATATCAATATTTGCCTTTCAGGAAATAATAGGAAGACATTAAAAAAACCTTTTTTTGAGGTCTGACTACTTTCCAGCCCAAAATAATTGTGTGAGAAAAGTGGCGTGTTCCGACATTTTTCCAAGTATCTTCAGTTTAGTTCAGTTATCTTCTCATGGCTGCTTCTGCTTCACTCTGTTGTGACGTATTGTTTTCATGGAAGAGCATGAAGAACAATTGGTCTCTGTGCTGCTTTTAAGTAAAAACAGTGTACCATGAAAACAGTAGCTATTTCTGCTCATAATTCACTTTTCTGTGCAGCAGGCATTGTCTTTCAGCATGCAGAAGAAGTGCTGTATGTGTCCTTCTCATTTTGTCACACAATATCAAAAAGGGATGTACTGCTCTGCTTTGTGCTAAGGGTCACAGTTGCTTTTGCACCATCCATGCAAATGCAAACGTAGTGAAGAAGTTAGTACTGTTGTAAAAGGAGTTCTGATTGTACAGACCTCCTGAGAGCATCCTATAGGACAGAGGTCTCAGGTCTCTGGAGCAGACTTTGAGAACCACTGCTGTGAGTTTTTCCTGAGTATCCTAATACATATTTATATTTGTATATGTAATTGATGAGATTAACAGTATATTTTCCATGTTGGGACAAAAAGACTTGACTCTAGACTTGGAATTAGTGGTTTTCCCCTCTGGCAGGACTGCATAGAATTTCTCCAGGACCTTTATCAGTTACATAGAGTTGATGGGCAGCCCCCTCTTGTGGGCTGCACGTGTGAGTTCTGTCAAGGCAGAAAACCTGGCTGCAGGCCGCTGTTGGTGTAATTCCCAGGCACACCTGCCTGGCTAGGGGAGAGCATGGTATAGAGGGCTCCTTCTTTTGTGACTGGAGAAAGGAGGAGCTATCATGGGTGGTTCTGAAAGCTGGGGTTCCTCACAAACTTCACTGGAGAGCTTCCACCTGTGGGAAGACAGCCCTTCCCTTCCTGTTCCTTTTGCTCTGTGCTCTGGTGGCAGCAGCTGTTTGTTTTTTGCTCTAGGGCCCATGGTGACACACAGCACTGCCGGAAAGCTCTGCACCGGGCTGTCCAGTGCACCAGTGACTACCCTGAGCATGTCTGCGAAGTGTTGCTTACTATGGAGAGGACAGAAGGTAGGACCCTTGGCCCTCTGCTTCTGGCTTGGAGTCTGGCCTATTGGCTGATTGGTCACCACTGGGAGCATCTGGTCAGAGTCTGTAAGGACAGACGGCCGTGGCCACTGCCTCACAGTGGCTCTGTATGGTTGACACTCTAACAAGTGTCATGAGGCACTTGTTAGTGGGAGTAAGCTCTCCTGCAGTTCTTCTCCCACTCTCTAGCTGCTAGAGGGCTCTGTGATGGAGCCCTGGTGCAGGGCTTTCATAATTCTTATCATGTAGGACATTTAGCTGCAGTCCTGGCCTTTACCCGTTAGATGCTGGAGCAGCTCTCCCCACCCAACCAAACATGTCCTTTGCCAGGGAGGGTCCCCCAGTGAAAGACCACAGCTCTAGTGCAGTGTCAGCACAGCAAAGGAGCTCAGAGAAGCAGACTGCTTGGTGGGCTCTTTGGTTACTTGATGAATTTTTAAGCCTTCAGTATCAAGCTGTAGAACTAGAGCCAATAGGAAAATAGGATCAATTTATCCAAGGGCACTGACCTGGATTTGGGGTATGAGATCCTCAGACCTGGAGATTACATGCCCAAACAACAACAGAAAAAAGTAGCTCTTAAAATTCTTCAGTGTTAATGTGAATGCCCCATACAGTTTCATTAGAATGTCTTCATAGTCTCACCATTGACAGCCCATCAGAGGTCAGATTCTTGTTTTCAGGTCTCTTTTCTGAAGGAGAATGGACACTAAGCATGCCTGGAAGGACTATTTGGATTCCATACAAGCCTGAGCGGATTAAATGTCCTTAAAATGAGGAGCCAACTCATTGCAGTTCTCATTGTCATAAGGGAGAGATCTTTTGTGGAGGTGTGGGAAATTGAGGAAATGTTCTATCATTATAGTCCTTCAAAACTCTAAGGAGTGACAGGTTTACTTCTTTTCCTGTTTAGGTACATTAGAAGATTGGGATATGGCCATCCAGAAAACTGAGACTCGGTTAGCGCGTGTGAATGAGCAGAGAATGAAGGTAATGATGACGGTTGCTTGGTGTCTACCTCTGTTTTTGGGGGGTGGAGTTATACTGGGGTTTGAACTCAGGTCTTTGTGCTTCTTAGGCAGGCGCTGTACCACTTGAGCCACACCCCAAGCCCTGTTTGGAGCCTTTTACATCTCCTTTGTTTCTGTTCAGTATGAAAGTTTCTTGTCAAAACCTTTTAGGCCTTCATAAGAAGTATATGTTATTCATGGAGTATCAATTATAAAAGGTTGGAATCAGTATTTAAACTTGTATCATCTTTTTAAGATTATTTTAAAATTTTGGGTTTAATAATAAGTACTTTTTTGTACATTGGGTGAATCTATCCTCTGCTCTTGCCAGGCATACACTCTACCACTAGAGCCTCTCTACCAGCGCTTTTTGCTTTGGTTATTTTTGAGATAGGGTCTTGCTTTATGCCCCAGGCCAGCCTGAATTGTGATCCTCCTGTTTGTGCTTCCCTCACGTAGCCAGGATGACAGCCATGTGCTATACCTGGTGGGCTAGAGGAATGATGGCACTTACTTGAGTGGAGTAGATAAAAAAGAATAGAAAAGTGCATTTGGCCTATCAGTGGAATACGAACATCCCAGCCCTCTTAGGGTCCCAGTTTTATAGATAGACTTTTCTTTCTCTTGGTGTATAATGATTAAGGTACTGTAAACCAACCATAGACTTGAGATCCAGAATCCTAAGCTGCCTGAGTGGGTTCCCTAAGGAACCCTTTCTAGGGTCTCCTCTTCTTCAAGTAGAACATTTCCACTCCGCATCCCTCTATCTCATATCTCACCGTACGCCAGACGGTTCCTGTATCAGTGCACCCACGCATGTACCCTGCTCCCACTTTTCTAGGCTGCGGAGAAGGAGGCAGCCCTTGCACAGCAAGAGGAAGAAAAGACTGAACAGCGAAAGAGGGTGCGAGCTGAGAAGAGAGCACTGAAAAAGAAGAAAAAAGCCCCAGGCACAGACAAGCGCAAAGCAGATGAGGATGAGAAAGAGTGGGGTGATGAGGAAGAAGGTAAAGTTTGACTTTTTACTTCCAAGTTTTACTTGGAAATGTCTCAAACTTACAGAAAAGTTGCAAAAATAGTACAGAGTGTTTCTTTTTCCTCAACTATTTGCGAATAATCTGCCAGCATCATGCTCATCACCCTTCCATCACTGCAGGGTGTGCACCTTGCAGACACAGGCATTATCATACAGTACAGTTCAACCTTCAAACACTATTTTGCGCGTTCCTGCCATCCAATCCTCATACCCTGCCCACTGTCTGCCATTTCTTCTAGTAGTGTCCTTCATAGTAGAAGGAGCCATTTCAGGACTGCATGTTGTCCTGTACCGAGTCTCTTTTAGGCTGGAGCATTTCTCAGTCTTCTTTGACTCATGACCTGGACACTTTTGAAGGGGACTGGTGAGTTACTTGTAGAGTGTACTGCAGTGCAGGTTTGGCTGGAGTTTCCTTGTGTTGAGTGTCTCTGGTAGGAGAAGTGCCCAAGTGTACCCTTTCCTCATTGTGTCCTCTCCGTGGCCTGGAATTTTGGTATGTTCCATTACTGGGACATATCAAGGTGGCTGCCTGGCTTCTCCATTAAGTTACTCCTTTCCCATTGGTAATTATTAGGTATTTGATGAGTGCTAACCTAGTACTCTGAGACTAGACAAATATCCTACTTCTCACCATACTTCCAATTATTCATCCTTTTATCTTTGTCATGACCGTGGGTCCCTATTTCTTCATAGTTAGCATCTGTTAGTGTCGGTATTTATGTTGATGCTCTACTTATCCCACTTTGGCTAGCACCCCTTGACCTGTCATTTGGTCACTTCCCTACTTTCAGGCATGCAGTACCCCAGGGTGATCTTGTGCTTTCCGTGACTCAGTCCTGGAGTCCACTGTTCCTCTCAGGGTCCTCTGAGTGGCATGCAGTACTTAGCAGGTTCTGATGGGGTATTGTGCTCCCCTGCCCTTGGAGCGTTAGAGCCTGGGAGTGTGTGTTTACGTCTATGTTTACTCCTGGAACTGTCTGAGTCTACACTGGTCCCTCCATTTCCAGCTAACACACAGGGTTCATTCTGCTTTTCTCTTTTTCCTCTGACTTTGTGAGCCCTGGCTGCTGTTATCCTCAGCATGTTCATTTATTCTGTTAGTCCCTCAATGTGTGTCACCAGCTCCTGTCCCTGTCCCCCAGCACCCTCTTTACCCCACTGGGCTTCCCACATCGGGTGGCAGGCACTGCCCTGCTCATATACCATCATCTGTCTGTTAGGGCTCCGTGCCCTCCACCAGGCTACCACCACATCCTTCCTGCTGGGAGCCCTTTTGTTCCTGCTCACTCAGGATCTCATACCCCATGCCGGCCCCTATCATCATCCCGTGTGTGCATGTCCTCTTCTCACTCATGCTCCAGGAGCTGCACCATCCACTGCAGCCTACCCTGCATGGTGTCTGCCTTGCTTGGCCTGTGTAATGGTTTTGACTTGGTAGAATTTTCCAGCTAGTGTTCCTGTCACTTACGTAATTTCAAGGATGGGCAGGTATGGGTCAGATTTGTTCTCAGTAAATTCATGCAAGGTAAAGAATTGTCTTGAGATATTAAAGAACTCTGAATATCTTCCTAGGATATCTGTGTCAGGCATAGGGACTCTAACATGCTGATTTTGCCATTGACATTTCTTGCACACTTTTTTTGGGCCTTCAAAATGATGGAGGGCGGTCTGCTGCCTGTCAGAACCCGCAGGGTAGCAGGGAAAGGCACATGGGATGTGTAACTGCAGTAGTGTGTATCAGGACCATAGAAGCTGTCCTTGTGAGTTGCAATGGCTGCAGAGGACAGCACTGGGGTCAGCTGTCTGCCAGAAGAGGTTCATGGGGAAGGATGCAGCACCAGGGTAGGAGTGAGGACTGTCGTACGGGAAAGAAGGGAGGGGTGCACTGGACAGACAGCCAGTGTTAGCAGAGCATGAAGACACTATGGCCTGGCATTTTCTTTGAGCAGCAAAGAATTGGGTGTGAGATCAGGTACCTGGCAGAGGGTGGGGCAGTGGTAGAGGAGGTTGGGGCAAGCTGGGCCCTGGTGCAGGACACTTTTCAGTGCAGCAGGGAGGGCTTAGACTTCATTGGGAAGGCAGTGCACTCATTGATGGAAAGGTCTGTATGCAGGAGGGCGATACCAGCTGAGCTTTGACACTGGCCCTCTGGAGGCAGTGGTGAAGACAGGTTGGAGTGTGGTTAAGTCTCTTGAGGCCACATGGCAATACTGAAAGGGTCCAATACTGGACCCTTTGTAGTGCTTTCTGAAGGCTGATCCATAGAGCACACCCACGCAGCTGCCCAGGTCACCTGCAGACCTGCTTTTGTAGGAGAGGAGCCCTGGACTCTGCCCACCTGAGTTTGAGACGCTCTGACTCAGGTGATTAAGCGTGGACAATGGGGATTTATGTTATTACTTGGGCTTGACGTTGCCCTTTCACTCGAGTGTAGTTGGGGCTCAGAAAGTTGTGGGGCAGGTCAGGAGGGCCACAAAAGAGTTCTCGGGAGCATGGCGCCTGCCCTCCCGTGCAGGTCGTGCCCTTTGTTTGTGGTGGGAAGAACACTTCTGCTGCACACTGCATCACAAGTTCACTGAAGAGAAGGAATAATTAACCAGTTACTGTTGCTCCTTCTCTTTTGAAAACCTGCAGAGCAGCCTTCCAAACGCCGAAGGATGGAGAACAGCATGCCCCTGGCTGGAGCAGCTCCAGCTATGGAAGAGGAAGCAGGGCTGACTAGGAAATGTGCAGCCGTGGATGTCGCTCCCCCTTCAAAGCAGAAAGAGAAGGCAGCCTCCCTGAAGCGGGACATGCCCAAGGTGGCCCATGACAGCAGTAAGGACAGCATCACTGTCTTTGTCAGCAACCTGCCTTACAGCATGGGGGAGCCCGAAGCGAAGCTCAGGCCAGTCTTCGAGGCCTGTGGGGAGGTGGTGGAGATCCGCCCATCTTCAGCAACCGTGGTGACTTCCGAGGCTACTGCTATGTGCAATTCAAAGAGGAGAAGTCAGCCCTGCAGGCCCTGGAGCTGGACCGCAAGAACGTGGAAGGGAGGCCAATGTTTGTTTCCCCCTGTGTGGACAAAAGCAAAAACCCCGATTTTAAGGTACGCTTATGGGAAAAGCATGTCTTTGCCATAGGCCACTTTGTTCCTGCAGTGCTCATTGGTGCCACACACACTGCGTTCTCACATGGTAGGAAGCAGCCTTACTTGGGAACCTGGTCTGACTCATGGGGAGGTCGCTCCCAGCTCACACTGGGTTGACTAGGGATGAGAATAGAATGAGGCGTTGTGGTGCTGGCCACTCTCCACTGAGTGCTCAGGTGTCGTGACGAGACTGTGAAGCACGCCCTGTATTTCCAAAGTGGCTCCTCCGCAGAACTCTGTGAGTGGCTGCTTTTATTCTGCTCATTTCACAGTGAAGGGAGTGGAGGCCGGGAGGCTCGCTGGCGTCCCTGGGTAACTCTGTAATAAGGCTTTGAGGCCAAGGTCGACTCTGGGCTGCTGGGCAGGCACAGTCCTGTGGGGGCCAAGCACGAGTGCCGGGGCTCATTGGGGTTGCGGTCTCTGTTTCTGCCTTGTGCAGGTGTTCAGATACAGCACTGCCTGGAGAGACACAAGCTGTTCATCTCAGGCCTGCCCTTCTCCTGCACTGAAGAGGAGCTACAAGACATCTGTAAGGCTCATGGCACCGTGAAGGACCTCAGGCTGGTCACCACCCGGGCTGGCAAACCAAAGGTGAGCATCAGCTCAGCGGTGCGGGGTCTGAGTGCGCTCTGTGGTTCTGCTGCTCTGGCTCCTGTGCTGCGCAAGGGTTTTCTAGTGCTAGGCTGCGCTCCCAGTTCACCTGCCAGAGACATGGTGATCTAATGGGAACGTAAGCTGATGGAGTTTGGGACCTCTCTTAGCCAATTGTACTAAGAAATCATAAGGCATTTGGAACATGAATTATCAGACTTCATAGGAGCCTCAATGGTGACACTTGCTGTGGGGCGAGGCAGAAGGCTGTGAGGGGAACCTGGGCCAGCCTCCTCCTCCTCCCTGCCCCCTTTTTCCTCTCTGTGTCCTGTTAGGTCCTTGCTCTACCACATATTGAGTGGCGTTTTAAGTGTGATCTGGATCCCCTGTCAAGCCTTGCCCCTATCCAGGCTGCAGGAGAGGTGAAGGGTATAAAGGAAAGGAGGGGCCACAGGGACAAAACATGGGATCCCTGGGCTGCTTTTCTGTGTCCAGTCCACCTTCTTGGGGTTTTGCTGGACTTACACAGGTCTGTTACTCTTGTGGTGCAAGCACAAGATGTTCTGAACCCAAAGGGAGAGGTTTCTAATGCCACAGGCAGTTAACAGCCACGGGAAGTAGAGGGGCCAGGGAATAAACCTGTACTTAGAGGATGGCAGTGGCAGGAAGATGACCTGGGTGTTAGCTCTGCAAAGTCTGCTACTGTCTGAAGGAAGCCTGGCTGCCTGATTCATGGGAGGAAGTCGCATCTGGGTCGGTGTCCTCTGACCTAGCACTGAATCTCTCTCGTATGATTCAGGGTCTGGCCTACGTGGAGTACGAAAATGAATCCCAGGCGTCGCAGGCTGTAATGAAGATGGATGGCATGACCATCAAAGAAAACGTCATCAAGGTGGCGATCAGCAATCCCCCTCAGAGGAAAGTCCCTGAGAAGTCTGAGGCGAGGAAAGCTCCAGGTGGCCCCATGATGCCGAGACAGATATACGGAGCGTAAGTGTTGCATGCAGATTTGTCCCCACCAACACAGAGCGATGGAGTCGTTTTGGTAGTGCAGTGAATTAGGATAGCAAAGCGGTGATCTCTGTGGTTCCGCCAGAGCAAGTCCCCAAAGGGCACAAGTCTGTGGCAGTTTACACCTGTCATTTATTTATATTATTGTTCCTATTTCATATTTCTCATTTGCATGTTTTTTTGGTGTTGGGGATTGAACTCACATCCTCACTTTTGCCGGGCAAGTATTGTATCACTAGACCCATGTCCCCAGCTCTTACTTGTATCTTTTAACTTTGGGTAATAATCTTGGCTTATCTTCACAACTAAATCTGGGGCTGGATTCCTTGCTTGGAAAGAGTACATTGTGTTTGCTCTTGCAGGCGTGGGAAGGGGAGGACCCAGCTCTCCCTGCTGCCTCGAGCCCTCCAACGCCCGAGTGGTGCAGCTCCTCAGGCCGAGAATGGCCCTGCTCCACGTCCAGAAGTTGCCACCTCTGCAGCCACCGAGGCACCCAAGATGTCCAATGCCGATTTTGCCAAGTTGCTCCTGAGAAAGTGAATGGGACTCTGAGAGATGGGAAATGCCTTACTTCATGCTGGCCGGGTAGACCCCTGCCACCCAGCAGCACCCTGGGAGCTGAGGGCTGGGCGCAGTGCTGGTGCTCCTAGAAAGGGCAGGTGTTCCACGCACAGGGTGGAAGTGCTCCTCACATTGAGGGCGGGAAGAGGTCGGCCCAGGTGATCGTTCCGAGATCCTTCTGTGTCCTGGAGTCCTAGAGTGACGAGCAGCAGTGACCCTGGAACGTGGCTTCTGAGACCCACTTGTCCCAACCTTTTGCCACCTCTGATCCTTTTTATAAGACACTTCTCTCACACTCCACACCCATGTGCCCTCATTCTTTAAGTTTTAAAAGCAAATGGCAGATGCTAGTCACACACCAGAATGGCCTATTTTAGTAATGTGTGGGGAGGGGAAATCACACACACAAAAACCACTTGATGGTTTTTTGTCCAAGGGGCTGAGAGGTTTTTCTATTACATATTTGTAAATGACAGGTCAGCCTGTTTTCTGTTTCCTAAAAGCAAAGTATTTGCAACATTTGTTTTCTCTTGGAGTTCTGTACCACCTGCTGTGGACCTTTTTTTTTGCCTAGTGATTAGTGGATGTATTTTCTGTCTGAACATTGGGTTTCAGCCCTTTGGTTTTGTATAAGATGCCATGTCGAGTACAAACGTAAATTCTCCCCATTTAGCTTTGTTTATTAAACTGAAGTTCTCTTCAAAAAGCCTTGTGCAAAAGTATTGGGATGTTACTCACTCACAGATGTGTATTTTGAGATGGGTGTACCTTGCTTTATCCAATAGACGTGTAAATAGAACTTTTGTAAGTCAAATCCTGGTGTCACTTTGATTTAATTATTTCATCAGTGAGCCGTCTTCAGTTTTAAATTTGAGATTACAGCAGTTTGACCCTGGCTTTTAAGCTCTTTTACCTGTCATTTTTTTATCAGGTAGTTACTGCTTTGAAGGTAGCATTGGCAGTTCAGTAGGGAAACTTACTCTATAAAGGCACTTTGGAGAAAACCATCGGGAATACTTTTGTGTGTAATGGAAAGCAGCTCATTTGTAAGTGTAAGTTTTGGTGTATCAGGAAGGCTTCTCTGTATTTGGTTTTTGCAGTATTGGGTTGGAAACGAAGGCTTTTGCTCTACCACTGAGCTATACCTACAGCCTACATTTTTTTGTTGTTGTTGTTTTGTTTTTGTGGTACTTGGGTTTAAACTTAAGGCCTTGTTAGCAGTGGCTCTACCTCTTTTTTTTTTTTAACTGTGATTTGAACTCAGGGCCTCATGCTTGCTTGGCAGGTGCTCTGCCACTCTCAGCTAATGCCCCAGACCTTTTTTCTTTTTGTTGTGAGTAGGGTCTCATGTTTTTACTCAGGTCTTGGGGATGACAGGCACATACCACCACACCCAGCTTTTTGGCTGGGCTGGCTTCAAACCATGAGCCTCCTCATCTCTGCCTCTTACAGCTGGTATTATAGGGCGAGCCACTGTGCCAGCTATGCTGTACCTTGGATTATGACCCTAGGCCTTTTGTTTTTAGTTTGTTTTTCAGATAAAGTCTCCTGATTTTTCAAGGGCCGGCCTTTGGACTGAGATCCTTCTACATCCTGAGGAGCCAGGATTATAGGTAGGCAGCACCATACCCAGCCCAGCCTACATATTTTTTTTTGGTAGGACTGGGCTTTGAACTCAGGGCTTCACACTGGCAAAGCACGTATGCTACCACTTGAGCCACATCTCTTCCCATTTTTTGCTCTGGTTATTTTGGAGATGGGGTCTCGCAAACTGTTTGCCAAAAAGTCTGGCTCTGAACTGTGATCCTCCTGATCTCAGCCTCCCAAGTAGCCAGGATTACAGGTGTGAGCCACTGATGCCTGGTGTACATTTTTCTTTTTTTTAAACCGAACATTTTTTGTTTGTTTGCAGACAAAGTCTTACTATGTAGCCTAGGTTGGCCTCAAACTTCTAATCCTCCTGCCTCTTCTTCCTCAGTACTGGGGCTAAGGTGACTGGCAACTTAACATTTTTTAATGGAAAAATTTGAACAGATTAAAAGGTAGAACTATAAAATAAAGTTCTCCATCCCTGTCATTGAGTTTTCAGCATTCGAGTCAGCCTGTCTCACTTGGTTTCCACCAACCCCTCCGCTTTCTCCTCCTCAGTTACATCGAGAAGTATCCCAGACATCAGCACGCTCATCCAGTAATACTACAGCATGTCTCTAAGAGATAGGGACGTAAGGGCCTTATTAACGCCCTTAGAGACACAGGTAGTAATACTTTCATGCCTCAGCTGACCGGCCACATTCCAGGTTTTCTACTGTCTGATGAATGTCAGTTTTCCCTCTCTCTAACTGGTCATTACGTGATAAGCCTCTTTTTTTTTTTTTTTCATTTTTCTTTTATTATTCATATGTGCATACAAGGCTTGGTTCATTTCTCCCCCCTGCCCCCACCCCCTCCCTTACCACCCACTCCGCCCCCTCCCTCTCCCCCCCCTCAATACCCAGCAGAAACTATTTTGCCCTTATTTCTAATTTTGTTGTAGAGAGAGTATAAGCAATAATAGGAAGGAACAAGGGGTTTTGCTGGTTGAGATAAGGATAGCTATACAGGGCATTGACTCACATTGATTTCCTGTGCGTGGGTGTTACCTTCTAGGTTAATTCTTTTTGATCTAACCTTTTCTCTAGTACCTGTTCCCCTTTTCCTATTGGCCTCAGTTGCTTTAAGGTATCTGCTTTAGTTTCTCTGCGTTAAGGGCAACAAATGCTAGCTAGTTTTTTAGGTGTCTTACCTATCCTCACCCCTCCCTTGTGTGCTCTCGCTTTTATCATGTGCTCAAAGTCCAATCCCCTTGTTGTGTTTGCCCTTGATCTAATGTCCACATATGAGGGAGAACATATGATTTTTGGTTTTTTGAGCCAGGCTAACCTCACTCAGAATGATGTTCTCCAATTCCATCCATTTACCAGCGAATGATAACATTTCGTTCTTCTTCATGATGTGATAGCCTCTTAAGTCCTTTAACATGTGGGGTCCCTTCCCATCTTTCTTTTTTTTTTTCCAGTACTGTGGTTTGAACTTTAGGCCTCGCAGTTGCTAGGTGAGTTCTTGACTGTTTAAGCCACGCCCCCCAACCCCTTTGCTATCGTTTTTCAGATAGACTTGCATCTTTGCCCTGGCTGGCCTGGACCTCGTCCTCCTATTTTTGACTTCCCTCATGGCTGGGATCACAGGTGTAGGCCAACTTCCTGATTGAGACTGGGTCTCACTCACTTTTTGCCTGGGCTGGCCTCCAACTGCAATCCTCCCGGTCTCGGTCTCCTGGGTATTCAGTATTAAAGGCACAAGCCTCCATATCTGGCAGTTTTTGTTTTTTTGTAGTACTGGGGTTTGAACTCAGGGCTTTCTGCTTGCTAGGCAGGGAATCTAACACCTGAGCCATGGCATCAGCCCCCATCTTTTTTGTCTACACAAAATAGACTCTAGATTAAACAGCAGCTGTGGGCAGTAGGAGCCTTGCTGTGGCACAGGTTCCTCCTAGGTCAGTTTCAGATGGCTTTGAACCCTGTTCTGCTGGCGAGCAGATGGACACTCAGAGGGAGCCTGCAGGTGGGCCTGACCTGTGAAGAGCTGTGAGCATTGAGTCCCACTGCGGGTTCATTTGGCTTTGCTTCTGGCTGCCTACAGGAACTGTAGTGTTTGGCACTGGTGGCCGGTAACCTGGCCTGGGTCATGTTCTCTCTCGGCAGGGCTTATGAAAGAGGTGAGCTTTTCCAGACTAGAGCAGAACCCATGTTAGGTGCAGGGTGTTCACTTGTAGAAATGGCTTTCCAGGAACATACTTGTTTTCCCCAGAAAAATAAAAAATCCCTGGTAAAGACAAACACGAAAGACCATTTTAAATCTTAGTGAGAAATTGGTAACTCACCCCATTGACCTAGGTAGGCAGTGTGTGCAGCCAGTTCTGTCTGCTTGCCTTCTGACATGGCTATCTTAGATCTGTTCTTCCAGATCAAGATCAAGAGCTGGTTGACAGAATCCCCTCTTCTTCCTTAGGATAAATGGAAACACCTCTCGAGTAAGACCGTGAAGTCCCAAACGTTTATGTAATAAAATACTTTATTAGAATCAGTAATTTGTTAAAGTAATATCCTTCGGACACAGGTAAAGTGCATGTTCTCTCACTGTAGGACAAAGCAGACACTCCTCTCAGACTTCCTTGGTATGTGTATAATACCAAGTCAGAAGAGTTCAGGTTTGAGACACACCTGTGGCAGCACACAAGTATGCAAACATTTTTATTCAGGTTTGAAGAACTATCACTTGGAGCCATTTCATGTATCTTGCTTTTCTTAACAGAAAACTGTTCTGAAGTGCAATTTATACAACTGAGTTACCATTATAAACACTTGCTACAGCTGAGTAGGAATCTCCTGTCAGGAACTGAACCTTCAAATCAAAGATTTGACAACCCTGTGTGTTTACCATCTACAACACTGACAAAGTGCATCACAGTGTTAGACATTGCAGGCTCTGTCACCGAGAAAGAAACCTAGTGATTTCCAGCCATTCTGACTAAATAGCAGCAAATGGGCACTTACGCCATACGATTGAGAGAGAAGATTCTATTTCCGTAAGATGACAACTTGGAAACCCAGCCATATTACATATGGCATTGTATCATTTTACAAGTTGCTAGAAAACTAAGGCCACTTGAGGCGATCCCTTCTGCCTACCCAAGGGGATTCTGGACAGTATACTGGCTTTACCGGGTGGTGGCTGGGGCGGTTAAGTGGATAAAAGTACATGAAAAAAGGGACAGGTCTTGGCTTTGGTCACAGGTTTTCCTTGGTTTTAATTCATTATCAGATATGTTTATTTGGGGTTGATGTGACATCTTAAGATACTTTTTGTTTTTCTTTGCAGTCTTGGGAACGGGACCCAGGGTCTTGCACATGCTAGGCAAGTTACCTCAGAGCCCCAGCCCTTCAGATCTGTCCTTTAACATTTACTCAAGAGTGAGGGGTAAGGGCAGACCCACTTTGTAGCAAGATACAGTTGTCGGGTGACAAGCCCAGAAATATCTGGTCCTGAGTTGCTACAAATGAAATGTAAGAGACCTTGAAAGAAAGAAAACCAAACCTGCCACTGCCCCTTAATGAGAAAAATAGTCTCATTATGAAAAAATAGCCTCTGGCACTCAAGTCTACCAGTTAAGTATGGCTCAAAGGGTCTTCTGTAAATAAGCAAGGTATCCAATTAGAAATAATGGCATTCATTTCATAGGTCGTATCTCAAAAGGCTGCTTGCTCTGCCAGCAACAGCCACCACAGTGATCTCTTGGCAGGGGGCAGAAACTTCAGAAAGTAGCTTTGACCATTTCTCAGAACCGGGGCAGCCCTCCGCAGGATGGCCACTTTTTAGTTAGACTTACAGGACCATTTCAGAGACTTGGAGTCCTCCTGTGGTACTGGGCTTTGTCCCACAGCTTTGCCTCTCTCCCCCACCTTAGTGCAAATTCTGCCCAGAACCTGGGTTCTGATCACACTGGAGTGTCACTGCCTCTACAGTGTGTGGGGACTCAGGAGCGCCCACCAGCACAGACACAGGGACACCATACAACACTCAAAAGAAGAAAATAAATAACTTCACTAAATTATAAATTATCTTAAGAGATAAGGCTTAATAATTTAGCTTTTTTCTTTTTTAACTAAAAAATTTTTGGAGGTAAAGAACGTTTAAAGGTCTCCTTTTTGGCTTTTGGACATAACCAGGTTTCTAGAAAGCTGTTTCTTTGATCCCCTGTCCCTCTGGCTTTTCTTGTCACCAAGGAAGAACTGACAGGGTTAGGGCCTCACAGGAAGTGTCTCCTTGAACCCGGAGTGGTTGGGTTTGGCTTCTGGCAGTGCCACCGAGTACTCGGTGGTGGCCAAGAGCAGAGTGTCCAGGGTGGTCTCAGTGCACTTGGCGATGAAGCGGATGAAGGGCCTTACATCGCCCTCGTTGGCGACTTCCAGCGCGTGGTAGTACTCGGATCTCTGCTCCTTGCGGATGGTGATGGGGGGGTAGCCAGCCTGCATCAGGATGAGGCTCATAAGCAGGCGGGAGGTCCTTCCATTGCCGTCAATGAAGGGGTGGATGTAAACCAGTTTGTAATGAGCTAAGGCTGCAAACTCAACTGGGTGCAGACTCATGGCGTCCTCTGAGTTAAGCCACTGGATGAACTCCTGCATCTGCTTCTCTACTTCCTGCGGATGCGGAGGGACGTAGTGTCCCACCAGGACCTGGGTCGTCCGAAACCTGCCGGCCTCCACCGGGTCCACGTACCCCAGCACCCGCCTGTGGATCTCTAACACGTCGCGGATGGTGACGGAGCCGAGGCGAGAGAGCAGCGTGGTGTTGATGTACCTCATCGCTGTGTGCATGCCGATCACCTCATTCTGCTCCTCCAGGCTCTTCCCTGGCACGGCATAGCGGGTCTCCAGGATGTGCCTGATCTCCGAGAGCGTGAGGGTGCTGCCCTCGATGGCCACCGTGTGGTAGATGTGGTGGTAGTACGTCTCCTCCAGGACCCTGCGCAGGGCCGAACTGCCCTTGGGGATGGACATGACCTTCTTCACCTTGCTGTCAATGATGCTAAATTGCCGCTGGTCAATCTCCTCCACTAGCGGCAGCATCCGGTCCCGGTTGACCAGCGCCTTCTCGTGGAAGGGCGAGAGCATCAGCGCTCTGGTGTACAAGTAATCGGCCTGGATGATGTCCTTGTCTTCTTCCGAGAAGATGCCGAACTCGTTGAGCGCATCCACGAAGTGTGGGTCCATCTTGAGGGCATGCAGGAAGAGCTTGCGGGCTTTCTCCCGCTTGCCCTGGCGCTTCATCTCCAGGGCTTGGTTCAGAGCTGCTCTGGCTTCCAACTTGCCTGCTAGAAGACAGCAAAGGCTCGGTCAGGAGGGCAGGTGGCAAAGAATGGTGAGGAAGTGGTCCCTGTGCAGGTGTCCAGGGAAACCCCAGTCAGCCCATGTCCCTGGACTCAGTGCACATCCCAGCCATGCATGGCTGGTACCGCTGTCCCATACCCTCCCTCTCGGGCCCATCGGGTAGGATGCTGGTGGTCATCTGTGAGTCCCAAGCCATTCTCTGCACCCTGGAAGGCAGCAGCTGGGCTGCCTTGCTGCCTGCCTTCTGCTGGGACATGCAAAGAGCTGGGCATTTGATATCCCTGGGCCTTTTGCAGCCACAGCTCCCAGCAGGTGGCCTCTCCTACTTCTTCCCTAGTTCATCCCATGGTGGCACTGGTCCCTGTCCCTCCTCTTCAGGTCTAGGGGTGCTTCTGGCTCCCATTCAGGCCAATCTCTGGGGGCTTCACCATTGCTGGACTGTTTTCTTTAAATCCACTTGTTCCATTTTGAACCCCCCCCCCACCTCAGGGACATCTGGCAGTCTGGAGCCATGTTTGGTTGTCACAATGGGGGATGTGTGTTGCTGGCATCTGGTGGTAGAGTCAAGGATGCCACTCGGCATCTCCAAATGTAGATTGGAGGAACCTTACTCTCCCTCCCATGCCTTTCTCCTTGTGTCATAACCATTTACAGCACAGGCACCACTTCCTGCAGGGAGCCTTCCTGGTGTGCTCCTCCAGCCATAACAGACACTTTGTCTCAGTCACCTATCTGGGAACTCAGGGCTGACATATTTACCACGTTGCCCCCATGCTCTGCACACAAAGCAGGCCCTCTATAAATATCTGTCCAGCTAACAAGCTGAGGGAAAGGCCAGTCTGTCTTACCTGGAGATGCCTTGGTCTTGACCACCAGCAGCCCTGAGTCCCTGGAGGTGACACTGAGCTCTGTGGACGGGCTGGTGCGCTTGGTGACAGAATGCTGCACCCTGTCCAGTTTGCTTCTGAGCAGGTAGAAGCCTTTGAGCATGGCCAAACACTGTTCCTCGACAGCCCCCAGGGGCAACAGCAAGGCCAGCAGTGACCCAAGTGCCATGCTCAGTAGTGTCAACCACAAGACACGGCCCCAGACCGAGACCCATTTTGGTTCAGTCACTGCCATCACTGAAGTCATCGGCATGAGAGTCATCTGGACTCAGGGGTGGGCCCCCTGCACGTGTCAAGTCAGCCAAAGCACAGCAGGACCTGAAAGAAACCGAGAATCATAGAGCAGAGGCAGGGAAGTGGACACGCTCCCGACACTGTGTGACCTCAGATGGGCCAGGACAGTGACAGAAGTGTCACTGGAGCACTTACTACATGCCAAGTCCTGCTCTAAGCACTAAGTTATCACACATATTATCTCCCACTATCTAGGGGCTGTTTTCACCCCATTCTTCAGATGAGGTGAAGTCCCTCAGCCAAAGTCACCCAGTGAGCAAAGGACAACTTTAGGACTTGGGCTCTGGAAAGTCATAGCTCTAAAATACCCTCTTCCACCACAGATCTCTGGCCTCTGACCGCCCAGCCCCGGTGGGACACAACAGGTCACGCACCCACCCCGACTGGCCATGGCAGTTCTGAGCCCCATTCTTTGATAAGCACAGCTGTTTGGTCTAATTTATGGGTACATGGGTGACGGCCTCTTCCTACCCTCACCCTGCTACTCCACTGTGGTGCCACCATACTGTTCTCCCCTCTAGCCTGCCCTTCCTGGCCTGTCTAGCAGGGATCTTGCTGAGAGGTCAGGCAGAGTCTCTAAAGGAACCTAACCTTTGGCTCCAGTGGGTGACTGTCCCACCTCAGTGACAATGGGCCTGTGCTTGGGGCTGGCTGGGGGAGTGAAGAGCCAGGTATTCAAGCACCATTATGCCAAAACAAGCATTTATTGGGCAACTATGGTGTGCTGGGCACTGAGCTGGGTGCTAGCCTCACTATCTCATTTCATCCTGACACCACGCTGGAGCTCCTTTCACAGATGAAGGGAACCAAGGCACTGACAGAGCCAAGTTGGGTTCTAGAAGGCCCCAGGGAGTAAACAGACATCAGGAATGAAACTCGGGGAGTCTGGGCCCAGGGCCCCAGGTCTTCAGTTCTACCACATTACCAAGCGGGGACTGTGCACCTGCTCCGGCCCAGATGCCTAGCTGATCACAGGGCTCGGGTCTTTCTAGACAGCCGCGCCCGGGGCCACAGGGCATCTGACGGCTTAGTGCAGGTGGTCAGGGCGGGCTTCCCGTAGACAGGCTCCTGGACCCGGCTGTAAAGGCAAGGAAGGACTTCGCCGGTGCCAGGGAGTGCAAGAGAAGGAGAGCGTTCCCTGAGGGGGGAAACTGAGGCCGGGAGAAGCGAAAGGACTGCGGTAAGGTCACTCTGCTGAACCGGCTCTTTGCTAACCCCGCCCAGGGCTCGCGGCAGAGCCCTTCGGCTTTGCCCCCACCTCACCGCGCGTGACTGCCATACCTTCCCACCGCCCTCCCGGCGCTTGCAGGCCCCGCGGCAACCGCTTCCCCGGACCTCCTCGGCCGCCAGTCTTCTGGCCCCGCCCTCGGCGACTCGCCATTGGACAGCCTGCCAACCTCGTCGCGGCGGATTGGCTCTGCTCACTTGTCCGTCCCTCGCATTTCCGGGTTCCCGCATCGGTGTCTGCATCCCAGGGAAAGGCCCGCCGTGGGCCACTCCCATTGGCTGTTCTGGTGTTGAGCGCTTGTGTGCAGTAGCCAATAAGCAACGAAGGGGCGGGGCCTAGCTAAGAGGCCGGAGCAGCGGGCGCGGAAAACCCGGCGTGGACGCGAGTTTGGGACTCGCTAGGTGTCACTTCCATCAACTGCCCTCCTCAGGTCTCCTGGTCCCGGGGCTCTCGTGTGCCTCAGTGTCCTCGAGTGTGACATGAAGCTGCTGATTGTTTCCACCTCGTCACCTGTTAGTCTTGACGACCTCATTTTTAGCCTCCACTCTATGCAGCTGGCTTTTCATGTTCTTTTCCATTCTCTACCCCTCTCTCTTTTAGTCCCTGACTTTTTCATTTGCATCCTCCCCAAGGTCATGGTCTTTCGCTCTCCAGAGAGAGTGTTCCTGGAAGAGAGCTGAGGCCTCCATGTTAACCCACAAATCCTGAAATTCCACACCCAGGGACGTGCCCTACAAACGCCGAGAGCGTCACGCGGTGGCATGCGACACCTCGCCTCGGGCTCACGCTGGCCTCCACTTCTCCCAGTGGCTTTGGGCAAGTTGCTCGGAACCTCGGGGTCTCCATTTGTAAAGTGGGAACAGTCTACCTTACTTTTACCCTCAAGTTCCGGATTTGCTAAAGGCTTGGCGCTTTAAGATACAGACGCCCCTTGGAGTCACACGGCCCTGGGTTCAAATCCCCGCTCTCTGTCACCTAAGAGACTTGATCTTGACGGCGTTTGCTTTTCTGTAAATGGTAAGGGTTCCACTTTACAGGGTCGTGTGCCACTCTGTCATCTGGCACAGAGCAAATGCTTGATCAGTATCACCTGTCACAGTTCTTTCTAGAAAAAAACACCAGGTCCTTGCTGCTTGTTTTCTCCTTCACGGAAGAAAGTGCCAGCCGTGCAAGATGTGCCAACCACACTGCACCCCCACTGGTCTCCTCCTGATTCTGCTTCAGGGAAACTGGTGCACAGCACAAAATGAAGGGTCCAGGCCCAGGCCAGAGTTGGGACTGATGGGGCATTGCCAAGCAGGGGTGAACAGCTTCCGTCCTTGCCAGTTGGGCTCCAGGCTTGTATGTTGAAACTCAACTCCCACGCCGCAGTCTGGAGCGTGGCCTTGGTAGATGCTCAGGAGACCTGGCCGCCTTGAACTTAAAGCACCGGAAGCAGGACAGACTCGAGTCCTTAAGAAACAAAATCAGGACAGTGGGTATTTCGGTGACTTGTTTTTAATCTTTTGAACAGAGGGGATTGAGCATTGTTCTCTCAGGTCTGTGAATTTTCTTCTGATGGCACTCACGAGATAACATCAGGGTAAAAACCTTCCCTGGAGGAGGTCGGCCATGCCGCTGGCTTATGGGGAACAGCTGCTGTGGGAGAAAATGGAGACTCTGGGGTGGACAGATGCTGTTCAGAGGCAAGGCCACCACCTTGAGCAAGTCACATACCCGCCAGAGTTGGGTATGGTGGGGCTGTGGAGCTGTGCTCACACCTAGGTATAAAGTGACATAATCGCCATGTTTAAAGGTATCCTCCTCTCTCTGCTCCTTAGGAGTTTAATGAGCTTAGGCCACTGGTAGCAAATCCAGAAGTTATGCAGTGACTGCTAATGAGTAAAACTGCCTGGGCATGACACAATACGGAGGGGTGGCAAGTGTGGAATTTGAGAACACAGGCCTTGTTTAAATTAGCAGCTGCTCTGCTCTAGCCCACGTTTATTATGCCAGGATGCAGTCCAACCATTGACAGAATTTCCAACTTCTCAAAATAAATATCAAGGAGTGGAGGTGTGGCTCACGTGGTAAAGCACCTGCTTTGCAAGTATGACGACCTGAGTTCAAACCCCAGTTCCACCAAAGCAAAACAAAACAAAACAAAGAAATATCAAGCCAGATGCCAGTGGCTCAAGTTTGTAATCCTAGTTACTCCAGAGACAGAGATCAGGAGGATCACAGTTCAAAGCCAGCCAGGGCAAATAGTTTGAGAGATCCTATCTTGGAAAAAAAACTCATCACACACACATAAAGCGTTGCTGGAATGGTTCAAGGCAGCCTTGAGTTCAAACCCCAGTACTGCAAAAAAAAAAAAAAAAAAAGAAAGAAAGAAAGAAAGAAAGCAAACGTCAAGGTTATATTTTAAGTAAAATCTCTAGTTTTTTTTTTTTGAGAGACAGTGTTTCAATATATAGCACAAGCTGGCCTGGAACCCACAATTTTCCTGCCTCAGCCTTCTGAGTGCTAGGATTACAGGAGTACACCACCATACCCAGCCCTTTTTTTAGATTTTTAAGTCCGCCTGCTGGCTCTAGGAGGCTGCCAGAGTGTAATGGCATTTTAGGCTTTTAAGGTTGACAGGGAAGGTTGCAGGGAACAGAGGAAGAAACACCACCAATGACTGTGTCATCAACAGAGCCCTGTGTGGACACCAGGGGGCGGTAATTACCCAGCATCACTTTTCTCATTCAGTCTCCTTATCAGCAGAACGCACTCGATTTTCTTTCTCAACTTTGTCTGCATTCAGCTGTGTTGAATGCACAAAATATGGTCCCTGAAGCGATATTGAAAAGTTGGCTTTCTCCATTTAAGCCTTCTGTATTCGGTGGAAATTACCTCCCTGTGGCCCACGGAGGAGTTTTCTAAAAGCTCACCTTGACACATGGCAAAGAACCTAGAAGGTCGCTGCATGGGAAATGTGTCCATTATGCAAAACAAGGGAACAAGGCGACTCCTACTGCTTGGGGAAAACACAAGCCCTCAACTTGAGGCTAGGTTGGCTCCAGAGTGTCTCAAGTTCACTAGAAGGAAAATAAACCCTACCTGCTCTTGCTCTCCTCAGTCAAGCTTCCTCTCATGCCCCAGCCTTCCTGGATTGTTTTCTCCCCTTAACTTACTGCTGCTGTGAAAGAAGAGACCCCCGACCCTGGCAGCCTTTCCCCATTTGGGGTCAGACCCAGTTTCCGAGGCTTCCCCAAGAAAGGGTTTTCGGGACCCCAGGTGAGTGTCCCTTTGCTGACTGCTCCTTCTCTGCCTTCAGACTGGGTTTCTCATGTTACGTGATGTCAAATTCATTGTCATAGAATTCACGTGTGCAAATAGGTTTTGTGGTAGAACGCCTGCCTAGCAAGTGCAAGCCCTGAGTTCAAACCCCAGTACCACAAAAAAGAAAAAAAAAAAAAAAGAAAAAAAAAAGGATGACAGCCAAGATGCTGTGAGGCGCTGTAGCCTGAGACCTGTTCCCAAGGTGGCTCACTCATGTGTCTGGGGCCAGCACTTCAGTTCCTGCCCATCCAGGTGGCTACTTGCATGTCCTCACAATATGGTGATGGGCTTCTCCCTGCGTGATCCAGAAGGATGATGTCTTCTATGATCTAACTTTGGATGTCATCTTTGCCTTACTCTGTTTCGACACAGATCAACCTTGGTGCAAGGTGGGAGGGGGCTCCAGCAGGTCCACCGGGAGAAAAGAGGCAGTGTGCCATTTTGGAGGGTCCAAACCTATAACTGCCACCTCTTCTTTCCCCACTCCCAACAAGTCTTCCTGACTGTCTGGCAGAGTGGACTTTAGTGGTGGAGCCTTCAGGTGCCTGAGGCAGGGACTTCTGCAGGTGTGACTCTCACTGGTTGCCTGCCTTTGCCCAGTTGTGTGGTCAGCGTTTCCCAGCTGAGCTCCTCCAACTGGCCCAAGAAGCTGCCTACGCCTTCCTAAAAAAGGGGTCCCGTTGACATGGAGACTGACTCAGGTGCTCACTATGCTGTTTTAGATCACAGCCTCTCAAAGCTGTGACTAACACTTCTTCCTTCCTGCATGGGGACAATGATTCAGCTTGGTCCCAGAGGGGCCACTACAGCTCCCTCCCCCCATGTCTCTTCTCCAGTCCCTCTGCCTGCTCAGGTGCCCAGGGCCTGGGGGCTGCTGGGCAGAGGGGCTGTGGACCTCCCTGGTCCAGACCTCTGTTTCTTTTATTTTTATTTATTTTTATTGTTTTATTATTCATATGTGCATACAAGGCTTGGTTCATTTCTCCCCCCTGCCCCCACCCCCTCCCTTACCACCCACTCCGCCCCCTCCCTCTCCCCCCCACCCCCTCAATACCCAGCAGAAACTATTTTGCCCTTATCTCTAATTTTGTTGTAGAGAGAGTATAAGCAATAATAGGAAGGAACAAGGGTTTTTGCTGGTTGAGATGAGGATAGCTATACAGGGCATTGACTCACATTGATTTCCTGTGCGTGTGTGTTGCCTTCTAGGTTAATTCTTTTTGATCTAACCTTTTCTCTAGTTCCTGGTCCCCTTCTCCTATTGGCCTCAGTTGCTTTTAAGGTATCTGCTTTAGTTTCTCTGCGTTAAGGGCAACAAGTGCTAGCTAGTTTTTTAGGTGTCTTACCTATCCTCACCCCTTCCTTGTGTGCTCTCGCTTTTATCATGTGCTCAAAGTCCAATCCCATTGTTGTGTTTGCCCTTGATCTAATGTCCGCATATGAGGGAGAAAATACAATTTTTGCAGACCTCTGTTTCTTGGATGCATCCCACATACCACCCTGCATCTGGAAAGCTCTCCATGGTAGCTCCCTGTTGTCATAGCGACGTGGAGCCATGGAAATTAACATGGGTGCCTGGTTGGCCAAGAAAGCCAGGCTTTTTTTTCATACTCAGTCTCTTTTAAAGAGATAAGAATTCCTAGGAGGGCTTTGACCAACATCAAAGGGTTTATTTCGGGTGTTCAGGAAATGTTCTTTAAGAAATTATTGGGGAATGAGTACAGCCCTAATCAGAGAGATGGTTTTGGCTTTGGGGCTCTTAAGGGAGCCAGAGAAGTAAGTTGAGGCAACTTGAAAACAACCAAACA